TCATGGATGCACTTCCAAGGCCCAAGGCCCCAGGCCCTGCTCCGTAACTGCAGCATCACGGGCCTCAGCTGCACTACTAATTGCTTTTCTGGTTTCAGCCTTCAATTCTCCCCAAAACTATCCTCCAGTCCACCTCCAAGGAGCTTATATTCTATTGAGAGGACAGTAACAAGTAACAAATGATTAGAAATAAAGAGGGTGATGGGAAGCTACTGAGTAGTCAGAGGCCTCTAGGCAGAGCTTGGCAAACGTGCCATTGGCAATTTTGTCACCTTCAAAGGACTTCTTTAATGTCTTGGCTGACACACTACCTACCTCATAGGGTTGCTGTGAGAATATCTACGTAGTGATTAGAACGATTCCTAGAATGCAGTGTGTTCTGTGAGGCATTATTAATCCCTAATATACCAGCTGGCCCTATTATTCAGGGTTTGTGTGTGATAATCTCCCCAGATGTGAACTCCTGAAGTTTCACAGGTCTTTTCTTTCACTCATAATGAATTCATATTAAGACTCTTCTAAAATTCTAAGCACAATGCTAAGCCCTGGGGAACATAAATATGACTAAGGTGTAATGCCGACAAAGGGATCTTCTAGAATCCTCTAGGTCACTTTTATTAGGAGCATATGCAGATCATTAGACAACAGGGTCAGCACACACCTATAGGCGCACCCTCCCATTTTAACAAAAAGCCCACTCCCGGTGAGGCTGCCTCAAAGTAGGAACTATCTGAACTGCCAAGGAGCAGACACACGCAGCATTATATAATTGTTTTTAATGTCCACAGTTTATAATACAGAGGCCAGAGCCTTCTCCCAGATTGACGTTTATAAATTCTCAATTGGTTTGTGAGGCCAGTAGGGATACTTCTTTTTGTCTAATTTGGTTTCTGGGAAGACTTCGTTCAAATCCTCTATGGTCATCTGATCAAATGGAATTATGTTCCTCATCTTCTCCAGCTGGAAGGCAAGCAAATATGTTAAGGTAAACAGGGCTCCGAAGACGCAGAAAAGAATCCAAGGCAGTTACCGCCACCGGGTGAAAGAGGAAAACTGTCACAAAAGCCAAAGCTCACCCTTACCTCTTTCTCATATTGCTCGATCCTGGCCTTTGAGAGAGACAAAAACTCAGCACAGCTTTTCACCTTTAAAAGAAGGGAGAAATTCCGTTCTGAAACCAGTGCTGACCCTGAGGCTCCCAGGGTCTGCGAAGCGCAGAGCCAGACCACTCTGGCTGCCTCGCTCTGGGGAATACTCAGAGAATGCCATGACTACTGGGGGAGCTCCCTTTGCGGGGCAAACTACAGCTTTGCTAAATGCACAAGGAAGCACATACAGGAGGACCAGCTTGGCAGGACCAGGGCCCCTCGGCAAGTTACCCGTCTAGGCAGCCCGCACAACACCTGTGCTTCCTGGGGGCTGGACCTTCATTACTGAATGGTCCATTACTGGACCACCAAGCCAGACCGCCCCTTGGTGGAGCCACCAGAGCTCCAACAGGGGCCTCCAGTGCTTTCGAGGACGTAGTTCGGTATCTGAATACCACCTTAGCTCATTTCCCTACCCGACTCCTTAATTGTTAGGGCACAATGACATGCAATAAAATGCACACGTTTGAAGAAAAACACTTGATCAGCTGTGACGTATGTATTCATCTGTGAAACTAGCCATAATCCCGAGAGAAAACAAATTGAACAGCCCCCTCCCTCCAGTTCCCAGGGAACTATGGAGGTTGCATTTTCTAGAGTTTTATTTTATTGCTCCTTTTAGTTCAATCTACCCCAGCCTAGTGACTAAGAAATATAGAGCCGTCAGGAATTAAGAGGATTTTAAAATACATAAGAGCCTCAACTACTCACATCTTCTTTTTCTTCAGCATCCACCAGGGCACTGTATTTATCCTCTGGCACAGGAACCTTCAGGGCATTAAACTGCAAACACAGGCACAGTGAGTTGTTGCTAATACACCCAAGAGCCCAAAGGAAGGACTGCTAGTCCTTACAGAGCACATAAAAACCCATTCTCCATTCCAAGAGGAAACTAGGATGAATCTGGGTTGTTGTAGTGGAAAAAATACTAAGACTGGGAAAGGGAAATCAAGGTGCTTCTCAGCCCCGTCCAAAACTAACTGCACACCTTGGACAATGCTCTATTACAATGAGCTTCAGTGTCTTCATCTCAAAGGGACAGCCAGAGTGGATGACCTCAGAAATAGCCTCCTAGAACCTCTGAATTCTAGAGAAATTCTAGTTTCTTTTAAGTGAACCCCTGTGGACGAGGTGGAAATAATGTTGGCATAATGGAGACAGAGATGGTCTCCAGAAGACCGCTTAGTGTTAGAGCCCGGCGCTCAGCACCACCCCTGGCAGAGCGGGCCCTTGATAGGCTGACAAGAAATTACAGCTACTGGAGACAGTAAGGGAGGCAGCACAGAGACAGGAGAAAACAGTGAAAGAGAAGAAGAGATGTTAGTTTCTCCCAAGGGTGAGATGAATGGGAAGCTTACCTTGACAGACCTCCCGCTCCTGATCAAGGCCATCCTGTACTGCTTCTTTGGAGGGGAACCAGCCCAATGAACAGACCCTGGATGCCTCCCCCATATTCTATTCACCTTTAAGTCACCTAATGTAAGACCTTCGGCCACACCCGCCTCTCCTGAGCTTCCTTTGGGACCTGAGTGTTTACCACCACCCTTCCTTCCTTCCTTGCTGTGATCAGGCATATGGAATCATCTCCTCTCCTCCCGTTCCAGCCACAAGCCACGCTACAAGACCAGTGCCAAACTGCCTGAAGTCTCACCTTCTTCTCAAAGTCGTCCACCAAGCCGGCCTTCGCTATGTTGGCCTTGTAGTAAGCCCAGTCAATAGTGGGGGGGTTCTCAGGTAGAGTAGCCAACCTGCTCACACGGAAAAGCAGAAGTTAAGATTGTTCTCTGAGCACCTGATAATTCACAGTAATTTCCCTGTTCCTTATTCCTACAGCCTGGACCTATCATCACACTGTTCTCTGGGAGGAAGAGCACGGGAATGCAAAAGAAACCCTACTTCCATCCGGTAACTTGATACAAGGGCTTCTTCATACTTTGTCAGAAGAGCATCAGAAAGCCTAGATCGTACGTAACTGCACGTCACTGGTTTGTCTCGACGTACGCGGCAACGTAAGAGGCTCCCTCTCAGAAAGGTACTGACCTAGAGGTGAGGGTCTCATTCCAGGATTTCAGGGAGTTAGCAATGGCCTTCTGGTTTCGAGGTATTATCTCCCCAAAAGCTACCCAGTCAATGGCTTTCAGAGCAAGTTTTCGCCCAGCCATCTTGAGATCCTAGAAAATAAAATAGCTTAGATCAAAACAGGGCTCTAGGAGAGAATTCTATAAAAGTCATCTTATTAACAGGAAGTGCTTTAAGAAATAGATCAGCGTCCTCTGAATGAGTGGTGGGTATATTAACTAAAGACATCAGGATTGCTAACTCAGAAAAGAAGGGCACCCTCAGCTTTTCAAATTCAAGGTGTACAACCTGGCATAGAACTATATTCTTTCCCCCTAAACATTCCTCCTTCCATTCTGTGACTCCTAACTCATCCTTAAGACCCCAGATCTCCAGTGTGTGTTCTCCATGTACCTTTGAGTGAACACAACTTATGCATTACACTCAAGTTAACGATTTATTCTGAATGCATTTCCAGTCAGATTGTTTTATTCACATTCTCCAGGGCACAGAACTGTACTCACCCAAGTTCCCACAAGGTTTGAATAGCGCAGACTCTAGACCAAAATTTCCTCACCTGAAAATGGCGCTAACGTCAGCCCTGCCTACCTAAGCAAGCTGTTCAAAGTGCCAAATGAAAACTGTGCACATCAATTTGCTCCACCGTCTCAGGCAAACTTAAGGGGCTCTCTACCCCCTTTCTATCAGATTCGTAATACACCTGGTCTTTCTTATTCATGTCTGATTTATCCTCTGCAGCACCAGCACATACCCTGAGTATAATTAGCAACACCCTTAAAAGAGGTATTCAATATACATATGAACGTGAGAAAAGAGGAAAAATGACTACAGCCATTTTTTTAAAAAATCCAAGACAGAATAAAGTACAATTGTCACACTAAATAACACTAGTGTCAGGCCTTAGGAGAAAGGCTGAAATATCAACGGTCCTTACAGACCACGGGGCGGATCACAGGGGAGGTGGTAGGAGATCTTCCCCAGGATCTTAGAAATTGTCCAATACCTGCCCCTTCCTTTCCTGCCCTCCCAGGATACCCTGGGTTTCCCGGAATGGACGTGAAGGGCAGGTGCCTTTTAAAGACATCGGAGGAATAAGCTTCCTCACAGACACCTTTCAAAGCCCCAGTAACAGGTAGGCTTCATAAACGAAGGGATTTCATTTACTGCTGAAACCCCTGAGCCTAGGGCCGGTCACGCACAGAGGAGGAGCTCAAGGACTGTTTGTTGAAGGGGTATAGAAGCCTGCACTTGAGAAGCTCCGAACGGTCCACGCGCTGGAAAGCTGGGACCCTCGGGAGGGAGAAGGCGCATCAAGTTATATAACTACCTCCGGGTAATGTTTCTCCTGCCCCCGAACCGGACTGCTTAAACCGGCCGCTCCGGGGACGGACTGGACGAGATCACGTTTGTGAAAGCGCCTGAGTTAGCGGCGACCCGGCCACAGTCCGGCCCCAGCGACCTCTCGTGCGGGGGAGGGAAAAAGAAAGGGAGCGAGGAGGCAGCAGTTACACCCGGGGGCCTCCCCCCGTCGGCGGGGCAATCGCAGGACCCCACGTCCTTGGCAGGATTGCGACAAGGGTCGGCGAAAAATCTGGAGGCGAAAGAGCAAAGGAACCATCTGGAGGTGGACCCAACGTCCCCAACCCTACTCACCTTCACCGACCCCGGCGCCCCACCGTCCGCAGCAGCCAGTGACGGAAGTGGGTCACCGGAAAGTCTTCTCCCAGCCAACCCTCAACCCAGAGGGGCGGGCGTCGGGCCACCTGTCCGCCGATGGGAGGAAGCTTCGCTCCGGAAGTCCCGCCTCCGAGGGCGGGCAGAGTGCCTCCACTGCGCGGGTCCCCCAGTGCTGGTTGGGGGCGCTCCCGTCCCTCTCCCCGGCCCCACCCCCGCCGATGGGCCGGTCCGGCTCTCCCTGCCGAGAGATGGGCCGGCCCGGCGGCGCGCGGGCAGTGGCGGCGGCGGTGGCCCAAGATGGCGGAGCTGCAACTGGACCCGGCGATGGCCGGGCTAGGCGGGGGTGGTGGGAGCGGGCCGGGCGACGGGGGCGGCCCGGGCCGCGGACCTCCCAGCCCTCGCCCCGCTGGCCCCACGTCCCGTGGGCACGGCCGCCCGCCCACTACCGCGCAGCCGCTCGAGCCGGGTCCCGGACCCCCCGAGCGGGCAGGGGGCGCCGGCGCGGCCCGCTGGGTCCGGCTGAACGTGGGCGGCACCTACTTCGTGACCACCAGACAGACCCTAGGCCGGGAGCCCAAGTCTTTCCTCTGCCGCCTCTGCTGCCAGGAAGACCCGGAGCTGGACTCAGACAAGGTGCGCCCCGCCCTCCGGCGCGCCCCCGGCCTTTGGACCCCCTCGTTCCTTCTAGGCGCGTCCCTAGATTCCTGCGACACGCTCGTCACAGGCGGGCTTATGGAGCCGAGACCCCCTTCCCCGACCCTTCCCCATCCAGGCAGCTATTCTCCCCCATCCTCAGTCGCTTCTAGGATTTCTCTCTCTGACCCCACCCTTCGTTTGGTTCTCAGCGATTCGTTCCCCAGACTGACCATCGGCACCCACGAGAACCCACTCCACACCCATATTCTAGCCCTTCAGGTCTGCATGACTTTTTCCCTGGCTTCTTATCAGCCCCTCACTGCATGTGTCAGATGCATCCAGAACTGGGTCAGGGTGAACTAAGGCATCCTTGTAGCTTTCTCAGACTTCCTCTAGGACCCTCTTGCCTTGGGTTGCAGGATGGCTTCAACAGCCGCGGGAAGTGCTTCTCGTGATCGCACACTTGTTCTCCGTGGTCGTGGTCCCAGAGCTCGTGTCTAGGAACAGCCACTGTTTTGGGTCCTATCTGAGGTCAAATGCATTCCTTGGAAAGAGGTGACTGTTTCCAGGGCAAACCTAACACCACTGGGTTAAGACCCAGGGAAAATGAAAACGAGAACGCTCTTGGGCAAGGTGCATGGCTGCTAACCAAACTGGTGAGAGGACCAAGCATACTTAACCCATTTCCAGTTTGAACTGTGGTTTGACTTTTTTTTTTTAACTTCACACGTTAATCTTTTAGTTCCCAACGCAGGGGAATTAACCATTCTCACACCACCTATATCCCACAGAGCATTCAGCCTGTTACCTTGAGACAGTCTTGGGGTTGGGTAAAATTGATTTCATTTATTCATCTCTTACCTCTCTTCTAATAAACCTCAGGTTGCTGGAAACTGCCCTAACTTTAAAGAGATTCCCAAACCCTTTCTTATAGAGGAGTAGTTTTTCATCTGCCTGGCCTGCCTTATTGCCGTAGAAGCCAGTTTGTTCTTATTTTACTGTAAAGATGAGTAGGGTTAAAGCTGCTGAGAGCCAAGTCCTGTCAGTGCCAAGCTTTCTCTTGGCACAGAGCTGGGGTATGTGAGGTACAGCTGGCAGTGCAGACTTCCCCTGATACTGGCCTTGAGCTCAGGAGTGTTGCCAACTAAACAGGTTTTCTCAGAATCAGGAATGTGATTTGGGGGCAATAGAGACTTCAGCATGCCATCTCAAGCAAAGATTTAAATCATGCAACTATAGCATTTTGTTCCTTCCTTTACAACAAATACCCCACAGAAGAATGTTGGTGCTTGTTTCCACTTAAATATTTTAGAAGTTCAAGTAAACACCTAGAATAGATGATACAACTGTGCATCCCAAATCCCCTACCTGGAATGATCCTGAAGTACGAGATCACAGCGCTGGCCTTCTTGCCAGTGCTTTGCGATGAGCAAACGTCTGGCATCACTTGCCCCCCTTCTAACGCGTGGTGACGATGTTGAAACCCTGTCCTGACTTGGTCTCAGAGCTCCGTGGTGATTGATACCCTTGTGTTTGGTTGGCAGGACGAGACGGGGGCTTACCTGATTGACAGGGACCCCACCTACTTCGGTCCCATCCTAAACTACCTCCGCCACGGGAAACTCATCATCACGAAGGAGTTGGCAGAAGAAGGTAAGGAGGATGTTTGAACTAGGCATTTTCAGAATTCAGGCTGACTGTTTCACAGCCTCGACTTCGGTTTGAGACTTTTTATCAGGCTTCTGTGCAGGCATAGTGATGGTTTATGAAGGTGAGCAGGGAGCCTCCAGGTACTGGTGGTGTCTGCGGGAGTCTCATTTAAGGGAGCCCCGTCGGGCTCTGTTCATCCTCCTTAGTGAGATGGAAAAGAGGCAGCGCAGCTTCTCTGACAGCTGTGGGAATTTTTTTCCTGAACTGCGTGGTTGTCGGGGTCCCTTTTACATTTGCTTATGTGACATTCGGTTATTCAGATTTTCAATTTTAGTTTGAATTTGCAGCTGTAAGAAAATTATAAAAGCTTGGCCTCATTTCTTTTAAGGCTGGTCTCATGCCTCCTTGTAAATTTTTTCAGCTGACCTAATTCATTCTCCAGTTCATTGTCAGGTGCGTCATCTTTGGTTTTTAGGGCATTGGGGCTGTAAGTGGGTCTTCATATCTTTCTAAAAGTCTTGACTCGGTCTCATCGAAGGCATTCAGTTGAAAACTGGGGCCTGTCCCCAAATCCAGGGCACCGGGACCAGGGAGTGTTAGCTCTGAGGAAGAAGGCTGTAACAGCTGTGCCGTTAGTGAAGTGGCTGCAAAACACCCATTTCGACCAATAACGAGAGGACTTGCTCTCTCTCTTTTTTCTTGAATGCTTTAAAAAAATAAATTAAATGCGTACAGAAGTAATGGGCATAGCACAGTGAATTCCACGCACCCACCATCCTGCTTCTACAATTGCCAACTCATGGGTAATTCTGCTTCTTGCAAAGAGGAATCTTAAGCATCTTTTCTAATGCCTTTTTAAAAACTTTTGTTTTGAAACACTTTCAGACTTAGAGGAAAGGGCAATAGTACAAAGAACTCCCTTTACCCACGTTCACCAGTTTTTAACATTTTTTGTCGTATTTGCATTGTCATTCATTCGTTCTTCCTCTGCTCCTGCCTCTCCCCTCTCCAGCCTTCCCATGGTTTTATTTCTGAATGATTTAAGGATAGTTTCCAGACTTCACCCCTTAGTACTTCGATGCGTATTTCCCAAGAACAAATATATTCTCTTACATAAGCACAGTATAGTTAACAAACTGAAGAAATTTAACGTTGATAAATACTTTTATCTGTAGCTCATTTTCCAGTTATGTCAACGGTTCCAATAATGGCCTGTATAGTAAATTATTTTCCTGGGACAAGATCCCGGGGCCCACTTAGTTGTCCTGTCTGAGGTCTTTGCTTTTATTTAGTATGGGGTTCTTTCCGTGGTTGCCTTTCATATTGTTCAAATAATAAGCATTCTGTTAAATTTGGTCCACGTATATTTACACACACAACCCACCCTGGTCATTTTTAGGACAAATACAAGCTCAGGTAAAAATCGCCAGCTCAGGAGCTGTCCATTGTGATTAGTTCCGGGAACTACGTGACATATGGGAAAGGTGTCCTGCAGCCAACGAATGGGCAGGTACAGGGAGAGTCAGGGAAGGTGCCGGGTGGGAAACTGAGGGCGAAATGGAGTAAAGAGGGCAGACCTTTCTCTCTGACTCCTGTTGGGGAAAAGGTAATAATGGGTGTGCCCTAAACTGCAAAGAAGCATTTCCCAGGCTGGGGGAGAGAGACTAGACTTGAACTTGAAAAATGCTGTTCATAGCAAAGGTGTAAACTGCAGCTTCCCTGCTGCCCTTGGGGAATTCACGCAGGTCTCTAACCAGAGTTCCGTCCTGTCCTAGGTGTGCTCGAAGAGGCGGAGTTCTACAACATCGCGTCTCTCGTGCGGCTGGTTAAGGAAAGGATACGGGACAATGAGAACAGAACTTCACAGGTAATGGGTTTTGAACTTGCATGGGGAAACTGTCTCACGTGGCTCCCTGTCCATGTGCCTGGCACGGTTAGGAAAGGCAGACCCGCCCTCGGAGCCAGAGGCCAGTGCGGAGGCACTGTCCGTCTGCCAGGCAGACAGCCTGCGCTCCCCCAGACTAGTTCAGAACAAAAACATAGAGAAGGAGAAGTAACAAAGGAAACAGAACAGCCTCGTGTCCCTGCAGAAGAATGGGGAGGTTGCGGCTGCTCGCCAGATGGCAGTGGGAGGAGCCCACGGAACTGCAGGTCCCACACCTGTTCTCTGGGACAGAACACCTGTCTCCCACCACGTGAAGACCAGGCCAAGGCTTGCTTGCACCTGTTGGCTGCTCTTTAGAGGGTCAGCCTTGAACGTGTCAGCACGTCCCATCCGGCCCCTGCCGGCCCCTGAAACCGGTCCCCTGGTGTAGACTTCAGAAGCCACCTGTGAACTGTGCTTCTGAGAAAATACTACCAGCTTCTGTTTTTATTATGAAGCCTAGATTTTGGTACTAACTCACTGACTATAGTAACAAAAGTGAAATACACAGTTTGCCACTTCATGGGAGCAGGGCATACTTAGCTTATTCCACGTCGCGTCACCCACTCACTGTGTCTTAAGTGGCCACAGTAGCTTCCGTTAGGCCCTTGGGATTCTGTGACGACGAGAAATCCCATGCCTTCAAGGAGCCTGAAGTCTAGCAAGGAAACAGAGGGTCGCTTTCGTGTAGTTAGGCTCTGCGTGTCGTACGACCACAGTCACGGGGCAGGGTCGGCCTCCGGCCTGACCGTGTGTCCTGCAGCGTGGTGTGCCTCTTAGCCCACGGGGCTGCAGTGGTGCTGGCTCCCTTGAGAGCGAATCTGCTGCATGTGGAATTCTCCGTGATTGGGAAGAAGGCGGAGTGTTTCTTTTCCAGAGTGAAAAATAGTTCCTCACTTCCTCTGTGTGAGACTTTAGGTATCAGTGTTCTGGCTCCGAGTGCATTGGGTTGTCTGGTTGAGTAGCCGCGCGGCCGCCAAGAAAATGAATGAATTCTTGTCACGTCACCTCCCGCGGCTGGTCAAGGTGGAAGGAAGGGCTTGCTCATCAAGTTCTCTGGTCTGGCCAGGGGCTGAGGGCCCCTTTACCATTCAGAGATGCCTCGCTGGTGGGCTTGCAGATTGCTGGCCAAAGGGGGTCCAGTGTCGCCCAGCCTTTGCTGCCTTGTATTATATTTACACGGTGGAGATTTAAGAGCTTAGACATTCTGAAAATCTGGCCTTACCCTCAATTCTCCATATTCCAAAAAAAGCATTTGCTCAGTACAGATTTTGATGGTGGCATGAATTATGTATTTTTGAAATCATTCAAATCATAGTACCTGAACATTCTAGTTCTTTGCCATTTAGCTGATTCCTTGAGAGTGCTGTAAGATTTCTCTCTGATGACAGCAATTTAGTTAATTAGTTCTAGATTCTGAAGGCCTGGGGATTCAGACCTGGTTGGAAGCTTTTTTATTCCAGAAATGTCGAGACCTTTTTGATGTTACTTGATCTGTGAAACTCAAAGCAATGATTTGATGTTGTTCAAAGACACCCACTTTTGTTATTGTTGCATGTAGCTCTCAGGTGACATTGGCGCGCATGGCTGTCTGTGTCCGTCCCTTCAAACAGGGTGTCTCCTTCCACTGGTATGTGTTTGAAGGATACTCACTTGGCAGATATGCAGGTGAAGCCCAAAGAATGAGGTCCCACCCCACCTTTTCTCAGTGACCTCCTGTCCCTGCCCAGGGCTGACCTCAGTTCTACTGCTTTGCTGTCTCTGAGGATACTTTTTGTTAAACAATTAATCTCAGAATGTCTGAGAACACCAGCGGTTTTACTTCGGAAGAGGAAGATCAAAAAGGCAGTACAACGTCTTAAATACCTGGGACTTTGACAGTTGTGGCCAATGTCGTGGCTCTTTTGCGATGCCCTGACCTCCATAATACAGAACATCTGATGGTTTCCAAAGTGCGTAGTTAGAGACGCGTATGCATCGAAATCTTTAGAAGATTTGTCCTGCCTTGGCCGGTGTGGCTCAGTGGATTGAGCGCTGGTCTGTGAACTGAAAAGTCGCTGGTTTGATTCCCAGTCAGGGCACCTGCTTGGGTGGGGGGCCGGGTCCCCAGTTGGGGGCGTGTGAGAGGCCACTGTTTCTCTTGTACAGCGATGTTTCTCTCCATGTCTGTCTCTTTCCGTTCCCCTCTCTAAAAATAAACAAATAAAATCTATTTTAGAAAAAGATTTGTTCTATGTCTTACATGGAAGAAAAAAGTTTATTAAAGATTATATTTATTTTATTTTTAGAGAGAGGGAGAGAGAGAAGGAAACATCCATCCGTTGCCTCTTGCACTCGCCCCAGGTTTGAGCATTCGTTAGGATGACTCACAGACCTCAGGAAGATGCTGTGCTTACTACTGTAGGTGATTGGAAGGATACAAACGAGCAGCCAGGTGGAGAGAGAAATGGGGCCAGGTTCTGAAGGGTCCTGGCCCAGGAGCCTGTCCCTGAGCGGTCAAGGTGCCTCTCCCGTCAGTGCCCGGATGTGTTCGCTGACGTGGCAGCTCCCAGAACTTCGTTGTTTAGGGCTTTTTAGGAATGTTTTGTTACATAGGTTGGTTGATTAAACCATTGGTTATTGGTTATTGAAAGCAATCGCCAGCCCCTCTCCCCAGCATAAGTCAGTAGATCTTGTCACACTTGGTCTCTCTGGTGACCAGTCATTAGCATACAAAAGACACGTGTCACTCAGGAGATTCCAAGCATTTTAGATACTCTGCCAGGGACCAGGGACAAGAACCGAATGTCTATTTCTTGTTACCTACCTACCAGTCTGCAGCGGGAACATGACCGTTGAACCCTGGGACACTCAGGTAGCATTGGCAGAGGGCGGACATAACTTGAACATCTGCATATGATGGGATTTCTATTTAATATGTTATTCCCATAATAAGGCATCACACTTAATGAACCAAAATGTAATCTGAGTTTTCAGCTTTTGTGTCAGACATGAGCACCTGAAGAAAGTGTGGCTTTCTTGTCCAAAATCATTTTACTCTACATTCTGTTTAGAAAGTAGATGAAATCTGAGTGCGTGATCCATTCTTCCGCACTTCAGAAGAATGCAGAAGTCGCTGTCCCTACTGAGACCCTGACCTTTTCCCCCTGGACGAGCTTTTACTGGGAAACTAGTGCTGCTTGTGGAGGGGACGGAGGGCGGGCCAGCTCCTCTCGGGGTGGCGTGTGGCAGCCTCACTGAGGCTGCTGCGCACTGCCGTGCCCTTGGCCTCTGCCCCCAAGTGTGTCCATGGTTGTCACAGGGCCCCGTGAAGCACGTGTACCGCGTCCTGCAGTGCCAGGAGGAGGAGCTGACGCAGATGGTCTCCACCATGTCTGACGGCTGGAAGTTCGAGCAGGTACGTCTCAGTGACGGCAACCCAGGCATCCAGCCCGGCGTCTGCGCTCCTCATGACACCACCACCCCCGCCCTGTGGAGCTCAGTGGGCCCCCTGTGGTCCTGTTCAGAAACTGGGAAGGGGAGCTGCTTGTGTGGATTATCTGCTCTGCAGTACGGGAGGAGTTGGGAGAACTGAGAACAATATTCGATCTCCCAGCTTCGTATCCCAGGTTTCGACTCGCTGTGTCCAGAGGGAGCCAGCTGGCCGGCTTCTTTGGGCTTGAAGTGCCTTTCTCTCTCGTTTTTCTCCCCCAGAGGAGTGTTTTCAGAAGTGCTTGTTCACATCTTCTGGAATAATTATCTAAGGAAGACTCGGGTTCACCTTTCCTTACCCCAGAGTCAGAGCTTTAGCATCCTGGACACTTCCCTCGAGAAAGTGGGGTCAGACTGGGGTCAGACGCAGTGTGCTTGTTGCCCCCAGGCTGTGGATTTCTGATCCTCGAGCTTTGGGCTGGTGACCGACGTGCCCAAACAGCCGGAGAGAGGCAGGATTTTACCACTGTCTTCCACCAGAGGGCAGGCTTGTTCAGTTGGTCTGTTGTCCTCAAACCCCCGGGGCTGAGCGAAGTGAGTGTATTACAACTGTGTCGGCTGCCCCCATAAGAGGTCATTGAACTGTCACCGTCAACTTTCCTTCCCAGAAGTTCCTTTTTGTGTCTCTGTCTTCAGAAGCAGCCCTGGTATTCCTCCCACTTTGCCCCCGAGCTGTAGAATCAGCTCTGCTGTGAACGGCCTCCTCATCCTCCTTGGGTGCAGGCTGCAGACGTTGCAGAAGTATTTTACCTGTTCAGAGTCTAAGCAGAGGATACTATCAAAACTTTTTAAAGTATCTTTGTGAAACCAGTGAAAAATGATTATCTTATTCTGCTCATTTTATTAACGTCTTGCGGGGACGAGGTGTGCTCCCAGTGACTCCGTGGTAGGGCTGAGGACGTGAAGGCACAGGGTGGCCGCACGCCAGGCAGTCAGGCCCCTGACCCGAGGCCCCGCAGGCTCATGGGGGTGACCTCACTTTGGGCTCGGCTTCTCCCTCTGTGCGTGTGTTTCCTATTTAGAATTAAGCCAGGAATCAGTGCACTGAAAACTACCAGCGGCGTAAGGCTTGTGGTAGCTCTCCAGTGGCCACCCTGGTGCTCTTCAGGGCCTGCCAGGGGCCAGCCTCCCGTCTGGGACGTCCGCTCACGGAGCGGCCGGCTCCGTGTGGGTGTTTCGGTCCCTTTAATCCAGAGAAACATTCCATTTTGCCCCCGTGTTTGCTAGAAGGAGTGTGACCGGGTCAGTCCCAGCTGCTGCCCCGGGGACGCCACGCTGCCGGGTGAGGGGCCCTGGCAGAGCACTCACTTTCCTTTGGGGAAGCCCGGCCCAGAGTACCCTGGTGAATAGCTGAGACTCGGGCATCCCCTGGGCCCCAGCAGCCCCAGAGAGTCCACGGGGGGGGGGTGGCTTCAGTTTGTGTGGCACTTAGTGTTTTAGCGTCACTGTGTGATGTCCTGTTTTCCCAGCTCATCAGCATTGGGTCTTCCTATAACTATGGAAACGAGGACCAGGCGGAATTCCTCTGTGTCGTCTCCAGAGAACTAAATAACTCCACCAATGGCATCGTCATAGAGCCCAGCGAGAAGGCCAAGGTGAGGCGTCGGTTCACCGGGCTGTGGCTCCGACCCCTGCGCCCCCAGCCCCTCCCTGGGGTTTGCCTGATTTCTTCCCGTCCCTTCTCAAGCGGGCTCCGACTTTCCCCTTCATTTGGGTCTTTTAACTGGTGTCATTTAAATCAAGACTTACAGAGCAGTGAGAGGATTTTTAGTTAGGAAATGTGACCCAAAGTGGGCTGACCTTTCCCAGCCTCTGTCCAGTCAGCATGAGAAAGAAAAGCTCATTGCCCCCAGTTACTCCAAGGCCTGAATTCTGACACTTGTTGGAAAGTAGTTTGCCTTAATCATTTGAAACTCCTCACTCTTTTTTTCCTGCCTCAAGAGAAAAGATATTTGTTTACCTTTGTCACTTCTTAGGTTACCGGAAACCTGCGGTGCACTGTGCTCTTTGTCCTCCAGCGCCCCTCAGACACACACACGCACACCTGCGGGTCACCAAGTGCGCCCGAACCGCTCTCTGAGCACCAGAGAAGTGGGCCCGCTGCCCAGTGAGCCCAACGTGCTCAGCTAGAGTCTTTCACAGCCCAGGCGCTTCAGCCGAGGGCGAGGCTCCGGTCCTGCCTTGCATCCTGGGTAACGGGTCGCCATGCTGCCCACCAGTCCAGTGGGAAGCCATGCGTCCCCTTCCTGGCCCTCAGCCCCTGTCCCATCTCCCACTTCCAGATCCTTCAGGAGAGAGGATCTCGGATGTGAACTCCAGACCCGTGCACATCCGGAGAGCAGCCAGCAGAGCACCTCCGTGAAGGCCAGTCTTGCTCCTGTACAGTGACCGAGCTGCTGCGACGCAAAGCTGAGCCTGGGCCCCCGGGGAGCGTTTCTGGTGAAACCAAAGGCACCCCCACCCCACCCACAAGAAGCTGAAGACAGATGCAGCTTCCGGCTGCAGAGCACCTTGTCAGAAACCGGCTTCGTTTCTCACCAGTGTTACGACAGATCTTTACAACCGCATCTGGCCTGGGTTCCCCGTCCGAGCCCCTGTGGGGAGTGCGGGGGAGGAAGGCCCGCTCTTGGTCTGTGCCTGACCTTGGGGGCAGGGGCGAGCGAAGTCCGACGTCCCTGCGCTGCACCATGTCTTCACGTGAAGGCGCCAGCAGGCGTCGGCAGCCAGCCGCCCTGTGGCTCTTCCCCTTCCCTGTGTGCATCCCAGACCAATGTAGCAGGTGCGAAGGATGCTGGCTTCCACTCGTCCAACTGCATCCAGGTTCTGGAAGAAGGACAGAGTTGCCAGAGTACCCCACGTTCCTATGAACTAAGCCTCTGAGGAAGGGGAGGATGGAGCATCCTTGCTTGCAGTTGGAGGGCGGGGGTCGCTGCCCAGCGTTGGGGGTACTCGGCTGCTGCCGCACGCAGCCCTGCCTTGTTTGTGCCCAGTAGCCTGGACCCTCCAGGCGGCTCACTGTCTTCCTAGGAAGAGGTCTGGGGTGGGCAACGTCTGCGCTGAATCAGACAGATGGGGGCTTCGGGTAGTTAGTGTAACTGCTTCTGCAGCCCTTTTTCACCCTCCGTCGGCCCGTCTGCCTTCCCTGACTTTAACCCAGAAGGAAGGGACCTTGGAACTTCTGGGGGCTTGGGGTGGGGATGGCTGTGTCTTCCAGAGTGGCCAGGTATGTGATGTGGCAGCATCCAAAGTGTTATTTCTGTGACCGTCTCTAGGAAACGCCTTCCACCAAACGTGTGATACTTGTGTCTCTCTTGGTTTCTGACCTTGGCAGTCCAGCCCCACAGCCTTGTCAGTGACCCCACGCCTTTCCCACTGGTGTGTGTGTTTGCTGCGCCCATTACCCCACCCCTCACCGTCTCTTCTTTCTGTGGGGTGACACGTCCTTGAGGATCAGATGCTCGTTTGACCTGGGGGAGCAAGGCTGTGGGCACAGAGCTTGCACCTCGACCTTCTCTCTGAGCTTTTGCGTCGTGGAGAACCGCCATTGCTTGCACAGGGCCCGGGGGACCCTGTGCTTCCCCTTGATGACTTCCGCAGTGTGGCAAATGGTCCAGAGAAGCGGGGCCCTCAGGAACGCTGTACCAGTAAATGCCACTGTAAGCCACTTGCTCCTGGCTCCTTCATAGCTGGGACCCTCCCTGCTCCACAGCTGCTTGCTAGGTGGGCCTGGGGTCCCACTTTTTGGAAATGAGCATAGACTGTGCCAAACGTCTTTTGGGTGTCACCTGCCCAGGCCTCTCACTCCAACCTGTTTCTCTGTGTGTAAAGTAGGACAGAAATGTACATGCAGTGGTGTCTGCTGCCACGGTGTCTGCACACCAGCTGGGTGTGCACGTTGGCACGTGCCCAAGACTTTTACAGCTGTAAAATGTTGCCTACAATAAAAGCAGTCACCTCTTCCAAAAGGTCACAAGCATCATCCTGTCATCTTTCAAGAGAAAGAAAAAAGATTTCAGTGTGTTGAGCAAAGCCGCTCAAGGGCAGGGGCCTGGGAGAGGTGCTCTGGCCAGTTCGAAAGGAGGACGGGCCCAGGCAGGTGCGCGTTCCCGGGCGGTGCCTGGTGACCAGTCTCTCCTCCCCAAGCCAGCGGGGGCGAGAGAGGGCTGGAGGACGGACGGGCCAGCCCTTGGGAATGCACTGTCCCTGTGTTTCGGACTTCCACCGGGGGTCCCGCAGGAAGGCTGCTGAACCCCTTGCTAAGGGCTCTGAGACGCGGGCATAGCGGGGTTTCTTATCTCCTGAAGGGCTGGCGTTCACCACATCTCCTTCCTCATGGCGACCCAGTGACAGTTTAAATTGTCCCAGTGCTCCAGAAATCTCAGGTGATTTGTCTCTTAAGGTTTCTGGAAAAGTATTTTACCCAAACCCTTTATGAACCAAGGGGGTGTTTTTCCTGAAAGCCTTCTCCCCTTGGCAGAGTCTGGCTGATAGCTTCAGAGAGCGGTCTGGCCATTGGCTCGGGGGTGTCACGTGCCCAGGAACCCACAGTCCCCAGCTGCCCCGTGGGGGGTGCCTTCCTGCTTCATTCTCCGCCAGGTCCGAGGCCTCAGGCCATGCAGGCCGGGCCCGGCCTTGGTCTCTCCTGAGTGGCCAGCGCTTCCGTTTTCTCAGAACCTGCTCTTCACCCCGCCAGTACGGTGGGGGCCAAGCCCCTACAGGGTGACTTTGCTCCTGCGCAGTTTTAACTGGCCTCGGGGGTGTTGGCGTGGTGTCAGGAAGGGAGGGGCAGAGACGCTGAGGGAGGAGGCACAGCCTGGGGTCCAGGGGTTGGGGACCATGCCAGTCCCTTGTGGGTGCCCTTTGTTACTGTTGGTGTGTTTGAAAAGTCTGAAATGTTGCCTTTTTTTTTTTCTTGGTCAATAAAGACATTAAACTTCTGAATCTTGAGGCCTTTGTGTGTTTGCCACACCACAAGCTCCTTGGTTTCCCCTGTCACTGCTCATGATTCTCACACTGTTCCCTGGAGGAGAATCTCACCTTTCCCAGCAGGCTTTGCACCAAGCCCTGGTTTCGCCCACTGCTGAAACTGCCGCCTTCCTCCCACCGCCCTCGTGCTGAATCCGGGAGGACCGGAGAGTGCCGAGAAACAGGAGGTGGGACAGATGGGCTGCCCACCAGAGAGCTGGACCGGAAAGGGATACGGGGGGGGGGGGGGGGGGTTTAAGGGGGGGAAAGCCTTCCTGGAAGAGAATAAGTGACTAGAGTGCCCATTTTCTCTGCAAGTTTGAGGGGAAACACGTGAAAATTCAGTAACCAAGTGAAGGATCCATCACTTAAGGCACCATCCAGGCAGGGTGTGGGACCCTCCAAAGGCCTTAGAAAGCGCCCCCACCCCGAAATAGGAGACGACTGTACGGAAAGGTCAAGAACAAGGCACAAGGTTGTATCAGCCAGGGTCCAACCAGAGATGGAGACCCCAGCAGTTAACAGGTGGTGGGGAAAGGAAAGGGCCTGGGGGTGCGGAGGTGTCCTTCAATCCCTACAAAGATGTAGGGATTGAAGGACATGGTTGTTCCCAGGACCCAGGAGCAAAGGGAAGAGGTTAGGATTTTTTAAATGTGGAGGTATCCACTGGCCGGTGTGGCTCATTGGACTGAGTTCTGGTCCGTGAACTGAAAAGTCACCAGTTCAACTCCCAGCCAGGGCACAGACCTGGGTTGCAGGCTGGTCCCCAGTAGGGGGCGTGTGAGAGTTAACTGATGGATATATCTCTAGCACATTGATGTTTCTATTCCTCTCTTTCTCCCTCTCTTCCCTGCTCTCTAAAAAAAAAATAAAATCTTTGGCTCACATCTATTTCTGGGCTATGCTAATTATTCTCCAAATTGGCTAGGTAGTCTAGACAGCACCCAGTTCGTGGTGAGCAAGCAGCTCGGCCCTACGGCCCCTTCAGGCCCTGTGGTTAGATGGCAGGAGTTGATCTCAAAAAGAGAAGAGCTCATTTGCAAAAGAAGGCGTGGATCCCTTCTCAAACCCTGGAATTCTGCGCACTGGTTCTCCAGCCAGGGCTTGTTGGAGGCTCCAAGCAGCAAAGGCCTTTGTTACGGATCATTTGAGTACTGCTGAATCGGCTCCATCACCAAGCCCAGGTGACAGCCCAGAGCTCAGCTTTTAACGAGAATCAGCCCTGGCTGGTGCGGCTCAATGGAATGAGTGCCGGACTGCAAAGCAAAGGGTTGCTGGTTCAATTCCCAGTCAGGGCATATGCCTGGGTTATGGACCAGGTTCCCAGTAGGGGGCGCATGAGGGGCAACCACACATTGATGTTTCTCTCCCTCTTTCTCCCTTCCCCTCTCTCTAAAAATAAATAAATAAAATAAAACAAAACAAGAATCACACCAGACACATTTCCATCAGTAGAGCCTGGAGTTACTCCATTAAAGCCCGTTTAGGGACTTCCGTCAAGATGGAGGCATAGGTGGATGTGCCGTGCCTTCTCACACAACCAAGTTTAGAGACAACTAAATATTAGCAACAGAAAACACAGCCAGAACACAGAAAATTGAACTTTTCGGAAGTCTCTTAACAACAAATTCTTCAGTCTGACCGGTAAGGGGCGAAACCAGCAGCTGGTGGAGCAGGGTTACACAGGAGGACTCGGTCAGACGGACTCAGGCATGCGGAATCCTGGCGCAGGGTTGGACCTAGTGAGCGATCGAGTGAGCAACCAAGCGAGCGACCGCAGGGGAGCAGGGCTGCATGTTGACTGTGGTTGCGCATTTGTGCGCAGATAGACAAGCGAGGGAGTGGGCGGTTGGACTGGGACCCAGCAGGTCCCCACAGCAAGCGGCACGGAGGGCGCTGCCATTTCCCTGCTCTGACCCCACCTCCACATACAGCGTCATAACCCAGCGACTCTGAGTGGCCCGGCCCAGGTGAACCACCTAAGGCGCTGCTCCTCACCCAGCTGTAGGAAACAGCAGAGGATGCTGCCAATTCCCCGCTCTGACCACGCCCCCACATACAGCGTCACAACCCAGCGACCTGGGAGTCCAAGGCTCCGTTCCTTACACTTAAAGGGCGAGAACAGACCAAAAATGGCTCAAAAAGATCTCAAAGCCCCAGAGCCTATAAATCTAAGCGATGAAGAAATGGCCAAACTCTCAGACGCACAGTTTAAAACACTGGTGATCAGGATCCTCACAGAACTGGTTGATTATAGCCACAAATTAGACAAATATATGAAGGTGAAACTAATTGAAATGAATGGAATTGCACAGGACACCAATAGCAATGAAAAGGAAACTGGGACTCAAATCAGTGGAGTGGACCAGAAGAAAGCAAATAATGGCCAAACAGAAAAGAGTCAAGAAGCAAGAATTCAAAGAAATGAGGAGAGTCTTAGGAACCTCCAGGACATCTTTAAAAGCTCCAACATCCGAATTATAGGGGTACCAGAAGGGGGAAAGGCACAGCCACCAGTGGAAAACTTCTTTGAACAAATAATAAAGGAGAATTTCCCCAATCTGGCAAAGGAAATAGACTTCCAGGAAATCCAGGAAGCTCAGAGACTCCCAAAGAAGTTGGACCCAAGAAGGAACACACCAAGGCACATCATAATTACATTAGCCAAAATTAAAATGAAGGAGAGAATCCTAGAAGCAGCAAGAGCTAAGGGGACAGTCACCTACAAAGGAGTCCCCATCAGACTGTCAGCGGATTTCTCAAAAGAGACCTTACAGGCAAGAAGGGGCTGGAAAGAGGTATTCCAAGTCATGAAATCCAAAGACCTACAACCAAGATTGCTCTATCCAGCAAAACTTTCATTTAGAATGGAAGGACAGATAAAGTGCTTCTCAGATAAGATCAAATTCAAGGAGTTCATCATCACCAAGCCCTTATTATATGAAATGTTAAAGGGACTTATCTAAGAAAAAGAAGTTAAAGAAACATGAACAGTGAAAGGACAGCAAACTCACAGTTATTAACAACCACACCTAAAACGAAAGCAAACTAAAAGGACAGCTAGATCAGGAGTGGAAACACAGAAATGAAGATCTCAAGGAGGGTTAGCAACAGGGGAGTGGGAAGAGGAGAAGGGGGGAGAAGGTACAGAAAATAAGTAGCATAGACAGTAGATAGAAAATAGATAGGGGGGGCAAGAATAGCATGGGAAATATAGAATCTAAAGGACTTGGGACACATGGTCATAAACTAAAGGGGGGGTAATGGTGGGGACGGGGGGGTAGGGTGGAGGGGAATGAAGGGGGGAATAGAACAACTGTAACAGCATAATCAATAAAAAAATTTTTTAAAAAAGCCCATTTCATTCCTTGGTCTATTCCCTTACAGTACCATAAATTTTTGTTTCCAACTTTTCTATTTTCATTTTTACCTAAAAATATGTTCATTAAGATTGTTGTTTTCCATGAGGTTTTTATGGTGGAACACTAGTGCGTTTAACCAACTTTAGCATTTGCCCTCCTGGGTTCCTTCTGAGGTACAACCTCCAACGTGGTTACTGTCCCCGAGTCGAATCTGGCAGCTCGGCATTTAAGTCTCATAGATCTACATTTGCCTGTTTTCCACTAATGGCAGTTTTCTGTTTATTAGTTCCAGAGAAACACCAAATAGATAAAAAGATTGAGAATCTGTATTTCTCAGCTTCCCTGGGAGGATAATTGTGAGCAAGTCCCCTCGTGTGTTTTTGGACCCTCTGGGGGAGCTGCTTCTCCGTGTCCGGCTGTAACAGGCCACTCGCTCCCAAGGCTTCTCACACGTGGCTCTCCATAAAGTTAATGATTGACTCTGAAGAGGAAATGAGACAAGTCACGTGGCTCTCCATAAAGTTAATGATTGACTCTGAAGAGGAAACCGGAGAAAACCCTTAGGGCCCCACGGGCCGTGCCTGAATTCCACAGTGGGGAGGGGGCTGTTCTCAGAGGGGTTAGTGACCCTCCTTTCTCAGTAGGAGGTGGTCTTCAGGAGCTGGCTGCAGCAGGATGCAGGGAAGCAGGGTGCTCTGAGGTGTTGGGGGGACGCCCTTCAGCTCCTCTGAGCAGCCCGGCTGGGGGCTCCTGCTGACCCTCCTCCCTGCGGTGCTGGCTCTGCACTGATTCCGACCACTGGTCCCTCTGGGCGGCCACCTGTGGCGTTGGGTAGGAGCCCAGTCTAAAGCTTTCCCTAATGTTCCGAAGTCACCTCTCTCACCAAATGCCTTAACCTTGCCTCTCCGCCCCCAAGTCTTTATTCTTCCTGGTTCAAGGGACTGCAGGGTTCTGCATCACCAGGCGGGCAGAAGTATGAATGCTGAGACCACGAATGTGTGACCCGAGGAGACTGGACCTGCTCTGCTAGCAGCGTGGACCTCAGCGTCCTTCCCCTTGGGCAGTGAGAGGTGGCTACCCTCACCATCTGGCTCTGAGGGACGTGCAGTTCTAGGGCAGAGCGGGGCGTGATCCTGGAACCGTTAACCCACTCGGTCACACGGTGGGGAACCGCAGCCGAATGTAAGAGGGATGTCATTCGCTTTCTTAAACAGTAGTTCCTCATTTGGAGTGGCTAGACCCATCAGGGTCCACAGGGATAGTCCCTGGAGTCCTGAAATAAGTTCTAGTGTTTCAAAAAGCTGAACAGCAAGCCAGCCGCACATCAGTGAGGCTGGCCAGCAAACCAAAATGTCAAGGTTCTTTGCTCATAACCCAGCATGCACTTCACAGGGGAAATGAAGGAAGAACTTCTGGAGCCAGACCAGCCAGGGCTCTTCGGAAATCCACATCAGTGTACCCTCCCTTCCCCTTTCCCCTACAGCACAGGGACCAGGGAGGAGGGGACTGTCCCTGGAATGCCACCCACACACTTCTCAGCCCTTCCTGCTCCTGCCTAAGCACGCGAAGAAAATTTGGTTTCACGTGAATCCAAGCAGGCTGTAAATGAATTTGTCCCCACGAACTGTTTCTCTTAAAACATGTTTCATGTTATTCCTTACAAAAAGATTGTGTTCCTGTATCGGGTAATTTTTAAATGTCTTTTTTGCATTGGCTAGCAAAGTAATTTTGCTTTTATTCAACAAATACCTAGGGCCTCCTCTGTGCCAGCCCCTGGTCATGGCAAATGAAATGTTCGTGGCCAATATGAACTCACTGGGCCCTCACAGCGACCCAGTCGGCTGGTGTCATGAATGCTCCCCTTGTATGGACGAGGAAACAGGATGGGAGGTTAGAGGACTTCCCCAAGATCATCAGGGTACCTGCTTTGGGGAGCCAGGGCTTAAACCCGGGCGGTCTGGTTTTTTTAACCATTGTGCTGAGTCATCTCTCCTATAATGCATTTGTTATAGAAAATGTATGCAATATGGAAAACAAAGAAGAAAATAATCCACCCCTCCTTCTCCTTCCCGTGCTCTTGTGCAGATAGCGCTCCCGAGCGTCGGAGATGCAGACCAGTGGGAGACGGCCTGTGACTCCCCCGTGCATTTTTCATCCATCTCACCCTCTGCACGTGTTCCAAAGTTACTTTCAAAATGCAAAGCGGGAGTCCTGGCTGGTGTAGCTCAGTGGATTGAGCGCGGGCCTGCGAACCAGACAATTGCGGTTCGATCCCAGTCAGGGCACATACTGGGGTTGCAGGCAGGTTCCCTGCAGGCCAGTTCCCAGCAGGGGACACATGAAAGGCAACCGTACATTGATGTTTCTCTCCCTTTCTCCTTCCCTTCCCCTCTAAAGATAAATAAATAAAATCTTTAAAAAAAAAATGCAAAGCGGCCTGTTCACTGGCCGACCTATCTTACATCCTACGAATCTGGCCTACAGCTTTGTTTTGTCTGAACCCCTTCTCTGCCTTCCCCTAGAAGTGGGTGGCAGGTGGTGAGTCAGCCAAAGCCGCAGGCATTGCTTCCTCAGTGTTACTCTCCAGTTTGTCCCAAAGCCAGGACAGTCACAGAAGGGGCCAGAGGACGCTGGCAGCCTCCGTGGTGTCCAGCCGTCTGGTCTCATCCCACAGGTTGGGGAGAGCAGGAAGCAGGACCAGAAGGGAGCTGCGTAGGGAATGAGCCTTAACCCATCCCTCACCCCAGTGATGCTGTTCCCAGGATGTCCGTGGGAGCCTGGGGTAGGGTCCCTGCCTGGCACGCAGCAGGGCCTCTCAGCTAAGATGACTCCAGCTCCACTCGGCGCTTCTCCTGTGAGAAAGGCACCTGGGAGCGACCTGGACCGGGTCCCACCAGCTAAAGGGAGGTGGAGCATCTCCAGCCACCCTGCTGGCCCCCTCCCGCCCCCTCCCGCCCCCAGCTCCTTGCCACAAGCAGTCCCCAGTTGCTCTCCTGGGCTTCATCGCCAGCCCCCACTCCATTCTGCCTCCTGGCCTTTGCCTCTGCTGTCCCCTCTGCCCAGAGCTCTCTTCCACTCTCAGCCCCTTTCTTACTCCTGCCCACTTACTCATTACTTTCTCCTCCTCTGTCCTAGAGACTCAGCTAGGAGGGGCTGTGTTCGGGAAGCCAGTGGAGAAGTCTCCCAAAGCCAGGCACGGTCCCCTTCTCCGCGCTCCCCCACCGCCCCCTGCATCTGTCCCGCCTGGTGCGCCTTTGGTATTTCTATGTGGGAATTCTCCGTGCGGCTGGGGGCAGGCCGGCTAATTCGTCTGGGTCTCCACCCCGCCACAGAGCGGGCACTGCACAAACACGGACCGGAGGACAGCAGGCAAGGCCAGAAGGCACTCCTCCAGAGGCCGGGTCGCCCCTTTGCTCCCTCCCACAGCTCAGCCCAGGTGCCCACTGCACCCAGGTAGGTGCAGGGGACCCCCCTCTCCCTCCTCTGTTTCCCCTGCACCCTGAAGATTCTGGGAGGCTGAGGACCGTGCAGCAGGTGCGGGAGGAGACAGACACGCGCCTCTCTCCACCTGTTTCCTGACCCGTAAGGGGCCTGGGGCAGACATGCCCTTCATATGCACCGAGGAGAACGCACTCCCGGGGCTTCCCCGCCCAGGTGGCCGGGACACACGGTCTGTTTCTAGCAGAGCCAGGGCGTGGCGAAGCGAGGCTCTCACCTCAGGCACAGAACTCACGGGGCGTTGCCAGAAATCTCAGGATTCGAGATGGAGAATATGTTAATGCAATCTTTTACACAATCAGAATTAATGCCAGACCCACGACGGACAGCATCTCGGAGTTATAACTGAAGGCCAGACCTGGTGCCTGCCCAGGCCCCTCGCCAGATGAGGGCCCTGAGCCCAACATGGTCTTATTGATAAAACCAGGTGGCTGCTCCATCGGCTGTGGCTCGTTTGATCTCATTTTCTTGAAAAACCGTTACATTACCTCGGCCGCCGAGTTTCATTGGCACCTCTGTAGATTGTGAGCTCCGGTCATCAGCCTTGCAGGCCTCACCGGCCTCACCTTGGTCAAGGGCATCCTATGCCTGGAGGGCATTACTGGAATTTATACCCGGACTAGGGGGAGGTGTCAGGGACACCAAATGTCCTGCAGTGCTCAGAGCGGTCACACCCAAACGTCCCTGTTGTTACCAGTGTGCACGCACAGCCCCACTTCACGTCAGTAGTGAATGACGGTTGTTTGGCCACTCACCGTTGCCAAAGTAAATCACAAAGGGACAAAAACCCAAGAGCACCCATTTAAAGGCTTGAGTTCCTTGCCAAGCACTGTTGGAAGCTGAAGCCTCCTCGCTTACGGCCAGGTTTCCCTGCCTGGAGGACACGTGTTCCGGGACTTTCGTGTTGCACACACACTGGAGACACAGGTGGTTAGGGCTCTGCCCAGGTTGCTCCGATGTTCCACAAATGTCCCAAGGTGGCTTCTGCGGGCCAGGCACAGGGTGGGAAGCAAGAGAGTGGCTTGGCCAGGGGCAGACCCTCACTCCTAGCTACGCGCTGATAAAGCCTCTTCAGGGAAGAGGTGACCGAGAAGCCGTCCTGCGCAGGTGCTCCTGAAGAAGGGAGGCTGACTTGGCACGTGGAAGGTGGCCCCGAGGGATGGGAGGGTGCGGCCTAGCTGGGCTGGGGACAGGGAGTCGGGCCACCTCCTACTGACTCTGCCTCACGACAGCCCTCAACAAACAGTACGGTGTGGTTAAGCACACAGACTCCAAAGCCAACTGCCTGGGCTCAAAGCCTGGCTCTGCCCCTTACAAATCCGTGACCTTGAACAACTTACTTAACCTCTCTGTGCCTTAGATTGCTCATCTGGAAAAAAGTAAAGTAGTAATAGTATCCACCTCCTTAGTGAATTGACCTAGGTACCTGGCTATTTTTATTTATTCGACAAATATTCATTGAGCTGGGGTGGGGGCGGAAGGAAAGGGGGAGGAATATTCTTCCCGAATATTAGGCAGGAGGGACATCATAGGGGGCTGAGGCCAACGCAGCCCCTGCCCTCACGGAGCGTACGATCTAGCGACCGCAGGACAGAAAGACCGATCACAGAACCGTTTAAATCGGGAGTCGGCGAACTGTGGTCTAGTACCTCTTTTTGTACAGCTTGCAAGCTAATATATAGTGTCCTCCTCAAATTCATGTCCACCTGGAACCTCAGAATGTGACCTCACTTGGAAGCAGGGCCTTTGCAGATGTGAGTAAGATGTGCCATTGGAGTAGGGTGGACCCTAATCCAGTGACCCGAGTCCTTATACGACGACAGAGACACGAAGACACACAGACACAGAGAGGACACAGCAGAGATTAGAATGATGTGCCTAAGAACCAAGGCCCAGGATGGCGTGTCGTCACCAGAAGCTGGGGGGCAGGCACGGATTCTCTGTCAGAGTCTCCAGAGGGAGCCTGCCCTGCCAACACCTGGGACGTCAGGCCTCCAGAATCGGGGCAGAATGAGTAGCTGTTGTCTTCAGCCCCCGGTGTACGGTCCCCCCAGGCCCTGGAGAGATCCCAGAGCAGATGGTCCCCTGAGTGGTCCTGGCTCTCAGGAAGCTGGGACATCAGGGGTTGCCAGGAAGAGCTCCCCAGAGGAGGTGGCACTTGGCCTTTGTCCTTGCAAACAGTGGGGATTATGCAGGGCAGCGGGCGCACCTGAGTGGGAGCAGAGGTGACCAAACTTGGGTCAGGGCTGAGCAGAGGAAGGGCAGAGACCAGGAGGAAGGCAGTGAGGGCGGGGGAGGAATGTGAACTGGATTCTGGAGTGCTCTGCCCACCTCGGAGCGAGGCCCTCAGCAGAGCAGCGTGGTCCGGTTGGTTTGAGGACAATCTGGAGGGCTTTGGGCAGCCGGGGTCAGGCTGAGCGAGAGCGAGGGTGCTGGTGGCCAGGCGAGGGCAGGAGGGCACCAGGTGGGAGTCAAGGCAGTGCTGGGGGGGGGATGAGTCTGACGGGAGGGAGAGCTGTTGGGCTCACGGGCTGAGAGAGCTGGGCACCGGGCGTGCGGACCGGAGTCCACCCGCCAAGGTGTGGGCCAAGGGAGGCTTGCTGGGGCGGCTCCTGAAGACAGATGCTTTTGGAAGATGAGTCCAGAGAGGGAGGCCGAGGTGGGAGACCCTATCGAGGCTCAGCATCCAGGCAGTGGGGGCCCGAAGTGGCCCAGGGTCAGGAAGAGATAAGACTTGAGCGAGGCTGCAGAGGGGAGAACTGACTGGGAGATGAGGCCTCTGACCGGGTCAGAGAGTGGAGACGGGGCCTGGGCTGCAGAGGAAGGTGGCGTGGGGACAGTCTGAGTCGGAGTGACTGTGAGAAGGTCTTCAGATGGCCGGCAGAGGGCGGAACTTCAGAGAGAGGCTGTGGGCTGGAGAGTCTGGGTAAGAGAGGGGGAAGGAGGAGGCAGGGAAGAGATGGGGGCTCAGGTCCGGGGGTGGCCCCTGAGCCCAAGAGCACCACTCCGACATCCTCTCCCTTGGCCGGGGCCTTCGGAGCCTGGGCTGTGCCCAGGCTTGCGGTTTCCAGGTGGCCCTGCTTGCCTGATTTAGGACCACCGCCCCTCCCCACACAGCTGACATGGGGCAGGGCTCTGCACAGGGACAGTCCCAGGTCAGGAGGTATGAGGCCGCCCTGCAGTTTCCCCTGTCCTGTGTCCCAGCCTGGCCTCGGCGGTGAGCATTCTGCTGCCTCTGAGTGGGAGAGATCAGGACATCTCAGTCCCTCCCCCCAGGGGGTGGATCTGGAGTAGAGTGGGGTGGGCGAGTGCGTCCCCCAACATCACAGCCAGCCTCTGTGGCCAGCCCTGGGACAGACTGTGCTTATCGGATCTGACTTCAGGGGGTCTTGGGGGAAATAGCCAGCTGGGCGGCACAGCCTAGCCCTCGGGGGCCCGCTGACAAGCTTCTCCCTGCGCTGTGCAGACAGGCAGAAGGGGTAACGTGGAGAAAGGACTCAGGAGCTGTCCTGGAGCTGGCAGAGAAGGGGCTGTTGAATAGGCAGGTGCAGGCATGGAGCTGCCCGGCCACCTGCAGCATCCAGAGCTGGCACAGACCTTGTCCCCATTCCTACAGCAGAGGGCACCTTGGCTACACCAGGCATACCAGAGGGGCCCAGCAGAGGCCAAGAGCTAGGGAGAGGTCAAGGGACCGGGAGCCCATCCCAGAGCTTCCAAGTCATTAAATATTTTTTAAGGACCCTGGTCTCAAAGATTGAAGTGTCAAGACCCAGGAATGGGGGAGTGACTTGGGGAAGTGACACTCAATTCCTTCTTTCAGCCAACGAGTCAGTACCCAGGCAGCACTGAGCACCCTGCTGTGTGCGTGGCCCCCTCGTCATTAGAGTGATTATTGTCCTGTGCTGCGCACTGTGCTCAGTGCTGGGGAAGCACCGGTCAGCAGGGCAAGTCCTAGGGAGCTTTAGTGGGGGAGGCACGGAACGCTCAGCAGGAGGTCTGGGAGGCCTTCCTGGAGGAAGGGGCTTACAGGCTGACACCTGCAGGCCAACCAGGTAAACGAGGACCAGCAGGACAGAGTGTTCCAGGAAAGCACAGCCACACACACGCAAAGCTCTCAGGGGGCTCCACGTCACCCAGGATGTGATGGGGGTGGTTATTGCTGGTGTACGGCAATCGTGCCTTTAAGTACCAATGAGTTACTGTTACTTTCTAAAGATTTATGACTTTGAGTAAGTGCCTCAGTTCCCTTGTCTACAGTACGATGACCCCTTCCAGTCTGGGTCCCTGGTCACTCACCCCTCACCGACAACTGTCAGAGGCCCTAACAAAACTGGGTCTGGCGCCCTGGCTGGCGTAGCTCAGTGAATTGAGCGAGGCTCTGTGAACCAGAGTATCGCAGTTCGATTCCCAGTCAGGGCACATGCCTGGGTTGCAGGCAAGTTCCCGGAAGGGGACGCATGAGAGGCAACCACACACTAATATTTCTCTCCCACTCTTTCTCCTTCCCTTCCCCTCTCTCGAAAAATAAATAAATAAAATATTTTTAAAAAACTGGTGACTAGCCTCTGTGCCCGAGACCTGCTCTCTGGAGACAGATTCACAGAGGGAGGCCGGGGAAGGTTGGGGACTGCCTGTGGGCGCCCAAGGCCCTGGCTCAGAGTGCCGAAGCCACAGTGACCACAGTGACCGTGGCCCAACCTTCTGGGAACCTCACACCGGAGAAGCACCCAGAGTCCAGGGTGGTGGGGGGTATCCCCACAAATCTATCAATATTTCGATGAAGCATAGGTTGAAGATTAAAGTGGGGCTCCCCAGAGGACAGAGGTGTCCCTGGGAAACCTCCCTGTTTGATATTTTCAGAGAGGGTAAGATCCTCCAGGAAGTCCCTGGGTCCTGCCAGAGTACCCAGGGAGGGGCGGGAGGGGGCGGGAGGCTGCGTCCGGCCTGTTCTCAGTACCTGGGGTGGGTTCTGCCGCTCACAGCACCGGCCAGGCTGAGGTAAGGAGGGCTGAGTGACGCGGACCCCCAACTGTATCCTCTCTGTCACCCACACAGGGCTCATCTCCATAGGATCATAAGATAAATCTTTATACACATATATATATATATATATATACATAATCTTTATTATACTTTTTCCATTACCATTGAGTCCCCTGGGATCATCAAATAAATCTTAATAGATCCCATCCCCTCCGCCCAAGGTTCACACCCAGAGATCTTCAAGTTAACACTGAACATCCACCCACCTCAGAGCCAATACCAGCACGGAGACAGCTGGTGAAAAAATGAGCCATAGGGCAGATGGGTGACTTGTGACGTGTAAGGCATGCCGTAGCACCTGACACAAGTATCTCCCGTATGAGATGCGCAGAGGTTAAGCCATCCTGGCGGCTGGCCCACGGTGTCTCCTTGTGGGCTGATCTGCATTTCCCTGCTGAATAAACGCTCGGAGCATCTTTTTTCGTGTGCTTGTTGGCCAGCTGTGTATCTTCCTCCGGGAACTACCCACTCAGGTCCTTTGCCCACTTTCAATGAGGCTGTGTTTTCATCACTGAGTTGTAACGGTTCTCAACGCAAGTCCCCTCTCCGGTGCACGGCTTGCAGACATCGTGGCCCACTGTGAGAGTCACCTTCGCCCTTCATGGTGGTGTCCTTCCTGCACACAAGTTTTCCACTTGGTCAATGTCCACAGTACGTGTGGTTTTTCCATTGTCCCTTGTGCTTTGGTGTCGTGTTGAAGAATCCATTGCCTAGTCCAAGACCACGACGATTTACTCCTATGTTTTCTCCTAAGAGTTTTAATCCTCACGTTTCCTTCTAAGGTCTTTTTTTTTTCCTTCCCGTGGAGCGAGGGAGAAATCCAGCCTCATTCTTTCGCCTGTGGGCGTCCAGTCGTTGCCGCATGGGTCGGTGAAGAGCCCACTCTCCCCACGTGGGACTGTCTGAGCACTCCCGTGGAAAACCAGTTTACGGTAAATGCAAGTCTATTCTCGGTTCTGTCCCACTGACCCACACGTCTACCCGTAGGCCAGTGCCGCCGCCCTTAGTTACTGTAGCTTTGTCTTAATTGCGTACATTTTGAGTAGTGCGTACCGAGGGCCGGCCAGCTCGGGGAGAAGATGGAGGGCCTTGTGGTTCTGAAGGCGCATTCGGACACGGTGGGCGTCTTCTGAGCGGCCCCCAGGCCCGAGGGGCTTGGCTCTCTTTCCTGCCCCCCTCAGCTGCCCGCCTGGGCTCCCCTGGGTGTGGCCCTCCAAGCTCTAGGCTTTCACTGGAAGGACCCCTGGGCAACTCGAGCCCCCGAAGAAGGAACCCACCGCCCTCCTGCTGGCAGATGGAGCCTGTTAATCGGCTTCATCACCCGCTCTCTCCCTCCGACCCCTGCGGTCCTGGAACCCGGACTGTAAAATCGGGGGCCTGGACAGCGAGCCCACGGCCCACGCAAACTACGTGCTAACCACACGCAAAGGAACCGGCCGAGCCGGGTCAGGCCCCGGCTGCTGGACCCGCAGGGCAGGGGACCCGCTGGGGGCGGGGGTGGCGGCCGCCACGCCACGCCCCCCCCCTCGGGGCCGCGTCCCGCCCCTGCTCCCGGAGGCTGCAGGCGGTCCCACCCACCGGCGCCTCGCGGCCCGCCTCCCCCCGGCCGCGGCGCCTGGCGGGTCCCCGCGGGAGGGCCGGGCCACGGGAAGCTGCGCTCGGCGTGCGAGCCGGTAAGCGGGCTCCCGGGGCCCCCCACGGCCCCCAAGGCGTCCCCCGCCGGGGTCCCCGTCCGCGCGGCGCACAGCCGCCGCCCTCCGGCCCCCCGGGCCCCTGCCCGCCTGTCGAGGGTGAGGATCCGGAAAAGCCTTCTTGTCCCGGGTCCCGGGCTCCCACAGTCCTGGGCGGCTGGGGACTCCCCCCAGAGGGGGGTCCCTCCAAAGCGACTCCTTGCCCCCCGCGGCCCGGGCAGCGAGGGGACGGGCAGCCCCGAGGCCCGGCCTGAAAGGGGCGCGCGGGCGCGAAGCCCCACCCGGCGCGGCGCGGTCCAGCGGAGGAAGCCCAGTGGCCCAGTGGAAACTAGACCCCGAGGGCAGGGACGCGGCCCGGGTGACGCGAGGTCACGGGTTCCTGTTGCCCATCCCATCCCCCTCCCCGGCTGTGGCCAGCCGGCCCCTGTGGGAAAGGTGGGGCACCTTCTGGGGACCCAGAAGGGACGGGGAGGTTTTTCCAAGCTCGCCGACCTCTGGAGTTGCCTCCTTCTTTCCGGGGCCCTTGCCGGGTGCAGGGGTTGGGGGGCTGGTAGCCCCACGTTCAAGCTGCTCTTGCAGCTCTGCGGGCCCAGCGGGGAGCCTACCGCCTCCCATCCTGTGTCCTAGGCTCCAGGCGTGGATTCCCGCCTGACACGCCTGTGGTCTGGTGACGGAAGGGGTCTCCAGGAGCTGGGGGGGGGGGGGCTACCCATCCTTTTGCCGCTCTGGGGCCGTAACTGCCCTTTTTCTCCCGACGGTGGGAAGAGAGCGGGCGAACGGAAGAAAGAGAAAGTGACCTCTGCACTCTGCACAGCAGCCCGGGAACCCCAAGCGCCTGCCTGAGAGCATCCACTCATCCTTCCGACGGCCTTGCAAACTCAGATGGGCGGGGAAGGGTTCCGAGGGCCTAGCAAGGCGCCTGCCCTCTGACGGAGGCCTGAAAACAGACCAGAGGCTGTGTGGTGATGGGAGGACAAGAAATGTCCTGTTGGCATTGTCACCTGGGTATGAAGCTGGTCTCCGCTGGGTGGGGGCATCGGGGGTGTCGCTGAGGGCTGAGGTGGGGGGAAAGCGGCTCACCTCCCGCCCCAGGAAGTGAGAGCAAGGTGTCTCCAGCCACATCTCCCTCCTTGTCCCAACCACGCAGCAGGCGGCGATGGTGACTTATGGTCCCATATGTAAAGGCGAGATCACCTCCCTGCTGGGGCAGAGGGGAAGCCAAAGTGCCTGGCCCCATCTCATCCCTACCCTGCTGGACTCTTCTGGAATGAGCCTGCCTGCCAGAAAGCCAGGTCACCCTCCCTCTCTGCCCCAGGGAACACAGGTGAGTCACCTCAGTATTACTTCTGTGCTGTGTCAGCAGCTGGGCGGGAGCTGGTAAACAAATGTTCATAGTGGAAAAGCTGGGGGTGGGGGTGCAGGCGAGGGGGACACGGTAAACAAAGGATTGAACCACTCCAATGTGGTTTGAAAACCAGGATTTTATTTATTCATTTTTAGAGTGAGGGGGAAAGACAGGGAGAGAAACATCAACATGTGGTTGCCCTCTCGTGTGTCCCCAGCCTGCAACCTGGGCACGTGCCCAGACTGGGAACCGAACCAGCAGCCCTTTGGTCTGCAGGCCAACACTCAATCCACCGAGCCACACCAGCTGGGGCTGACAACCACTCACTACTAAGGAGAGAAAACATGAAGGGGGTCTACCCAGCTGGTGGGGGGTGGTCAGAGTAGCTTCATAGAAGTGCCCTCAGGGCTGAATCTTGAAGGACCAGTCAGACTCCTCTGAGGCTAAGGATTTTGGAAGAGCCACCACTGTAGCCAAGCTGGGGGGGGGGGGCAGCCTGCTGGGGGAGGGGCTGGACTTAAAAGCTATATGTGTGGCCTGGGAGTTGCTGGGGGTGTGGGGGGGGCGTCTCCTTCCCCAGCCTGAAGCTGGGTCCGTCTGGGAGCTCCCAGAGGGTCCCCAGGGGTCTCCAAACCTGGGAGGCCACAAGCAAAGGCAGGACAAAGGTGCTCAGCGGTTCCTAGATGCTGACTGTCCCGGGAGGCCCCAGGGAAGAGGAGCTGTGAACGTTTCTGGAGGGAAGGGGGGTGCAGTGAAAGTCAGAATCCTGGACCGAAGTCCCCAAAGGTCCTGCCCAGAGAAGTGGCTGCTGAGCAGGGCACAAGAGGGAGGGGGGTCCAGCCACCAAGACCCCCACTTGTTTCTTCTCCAGTCTCCTCTCTTCCCTGCCGCCTCTTGCTCTGCGACAGTGTGCTGCTGCTCGGAAGGGAGATGGAGCTCGGGATGCGGAGCAGCAGGGAGGGGCGTGCAGGGGGAGGTGAGGGCTGCAGAGGAAGGGTGGTGGCCCTTCTGGGAGGAAGACTGGAGAGTGGCAGGTTCCGGAAGGGTGATGGGCCAGCACGTGTCAGGGAGGCGGGGCAAGCTATGGAGGAGGGTGTGGAGACTGACATTTAGGTCACCGTGGAGAGGATCAGGTGGCACTGGTGGCCTTTCCATTTGCTGAGGGAACAGAAATGATGGAAGGGACGAAAGTCAGTTTGCTAGAAGAGCGGCGTCTGAGGTTGCCCCAGCCTGAAGCCAGGCGGGGAGGGTCGGAGCTGAGGGCATCTCTGGGGCCAGTGTCATGGGCAGGAGTCAGGAGGCCAGGAAGTGCTCCTGGCCCACACAAGGCCACACACACACTCGCTCACACACACACACACGCAGCCTGAAGACTGGGATGAACCGGACATTCCCTTTGGCAGAGCTGTACTCTGAGGAGGAACTGGAGCAAGGGAAGGACTCATTTCAGGGTGGATCCAGCTAAGGCACCATTTTACAGCTGCTGGGCCTGGGGAAAGGTGTGGGCCCCGGGGCTTGGCAGGCAGAGGGGGTTTCATGTTTCCAAGAGTGTCCTGGGTCTCTGTGGATTTTCCCCAGACCCGGGGCTGAAAGGAGGGAGGCCGTGGGACAGTTGCTCATGGGCCCCTTGGCTTGACGGCAGCAGAAATCGCTCCCGTCGCCTGCTGGCCCTGGAGCCCTGTGTGTGGGTGAGGTCAGAGGGCACTGGGGAGAGCCAGGATGGAGCAGGGGGCTGGGGCAGGGCTCTGCCTCTGGGGACGGGGTCTGGGGCTTCTAGGTCTGGTTATGGTGGCTTCTGGGGTGAGAGGGACCGTCCTGGTGGTGGCAAGGAACTAGGTGCTGAGCTACAGGTGTGAGAGGGTGCGTGTCTGTGTGCCTTTGGGCTTCCCTGTGTGTGTCTGTGTAAGCGGGTGTCTACACTCGTGCATGTGTGTGAACCTGTGCCTTGAACTGTGTCCATCTGTGACTGTGTGCGCATCTGCAAGTCCGTGTTACGTGTGTGAGGGGCACTTAGAGAAGCCCTTGCCGGGGCTTGCTCCCTCTTCCGCATGCCCGTGGAACTGGACTCCGGACCACGCGTGGCTCTTTGTGCAAGGAGTGCAGCAGGGTGCCGTCGGAGCGCTTCCCGGTGGGGCCCTGCCCTCTCCCAGGACACTGCTTGTCCGGTGCCCTTGTCCAGCTGCTCCGTGTGCACTCACTCCTTGGCTGCACCCAGCACCAGCTCCCTCCCCTGGCCTTCCCAAGAGCGGTGACAGTGAACTTTACTGTTGACATGGCATTGCCACAGTCTGTGTTTGTGTGCAGGAAGCCTGGCTCTCAGTGCACGTGTGTGTGGCTGTCTGTCTGTCTGTGGGGTCTGTGGGACCACACTGGCCCTAGAGACCTGCTCCATTCTCCAACCAGTGACTGAGTGCTTGCTGTGTGTGGGGGCCCAAGGCTGGGCCAGGAAGCGGCCCCTGCTGACCACTGAGTGATGTTAGACCAGAAAGAATTCCAACCACCTGCCTGCCCTGCTGCCAGGCTGGATCTGGGAAGTGGGTGAAAGGAGACGCCAAGGCCAACTTGTGGGCCCTTGGCCGCCTCCCACAGGGGTGGTGCTCCTCTGATACCAGATGCTGAGGCAAGAGGAAGGGACGGTTTCAGTCGCCCAGGAAAGGTGGCAGGTGAGCCAGGGGAGGAAGGCTGGTAGCTTTATCCTTTCCCCTCCCCAGGCAGCCCAGGCCCTGGTAGCTGTGGTGTTGAGGCTGCGGCAGCATTTCCCGCAGAGGATGCCCCAGGCGCTGGAACTTGCCGAGGGCTCCTGGGCCTGGGTCGTCCTGCTGGCCTCCGTGGTGACCGAAGCCCTCACCCTGGGCTTTCCCACCTGCCTCGGCATCTTCTTCACCGAGCTGCAGCATGAGTTCCAGGCCAGCAACAGCGAGACCTCCTGGTTCCCCTCCATTATGATAGCCATGCTTCACGCCGGCGGTAAGCAGCCTGAGGAGGGGCCCCGGGGGCGGTGGGAAAGAACTGTGACCTCCCTGGCCTCCTAGGTCCCCCTCTCAGAGGCCACAGGCTTCACCTTTCCAGATGAATTTCTAAGATTTCACCCGCTCAGTGGGGCCCACTCCCCTGGCTGGAATCCTGCGGGGCTAGGCCAGGCTGTGGAGGGGTGAAGGCAGGGAGGTGCCTAGGGTGACTAGCCAGTCCTCCGAGGGGCCCCTGGAGGAGGAGCATCCTGGGAGCGGCTGGGAGGTCACTCTGAACCTTGGTTTCCGCCCTGCCCTATGGGACCAGCACCCTGCCCACCTCCCACACGGGATGGTAGGGAAGGGCACACACACTCAGCAATGCTGAGGGCAGAGACCTAAGTGGTGTGAATGACTCGTATTCTGGAGACCTTCACAGGCTTCAAGAGGGGAAAGCTGGCTCTTTGTGGACACCAGGAGCAAGACGGGGACAGGACAAGAGCCCCGTCTCGCACCAGGAAGCAGAGGGGGAGTTGCAAGGGCTGGGGAGTTGGAGGGAAGGCAGCCCCCTCATTTCCTCGTTGGTTCCTCCGGGACTGTGACCACCTCACCCTGACCCCAGCCCTAGGGCAAGGTCAGGAGCCACCCAGGAGCGTTCTCCGCCGCAGTTTTGGGCTCAGTTTTGGCTGCTCCCCAGGGAGACCCCACAGACAGCGGCCTCTAGGGGGCCGGGCCAACTGAGTGAGGGCCGATGGGGCGCAGGGTTCCCCACACAGGGATGTGCCTGCCTCCTCTGTCCTCCTCTCCCTGCTCAGCTCCTGCCACTCCCTCCACCTGGCACTTGCTTGTCCTTCCGGTTCTTTCCCTCCAACTAACTGGAAGGGAGGTCAAGCTGTGATAGGTGCTGCCTTTGCTGGAGCAACTCCTGAACCTTGCTACTCAGGGCATGGGCTCAGGGCAAGGGGAAAAGCCAGGCCTGACCCCGGCCGCGCAGCTGCTTCACCTGCGAGGCTAGTGCCGAAGTGGGAACGGCAGGGGGCTCCTTCCACGCAGCCTGTGGGCCAGGCTCTGGGAGCTGGGCATCCGGTAGGGACCCCGACTCCCCAGCCAGCTTTACTCACTGCCCCCCAACAGTATCCAACATCTCAGTGGGCTTGGGAGCCCTGTATGTCTGGCCTGTCTGTCTCTCACACACACACCTTTAGCCCACGCTCACTCCGAGTATGACAGAAATTTTAAATGTGAAAGGCTCATTGATCCTAAGTGTCCCTGGTACCGACACATTTTAAAGAGGAGAAAAGCAAACAAATACAAGGTACAGGGCTTGCCCAAGGTTGCAGATCGATTTCAGGGCAGAAGCAGCGCCCCTGCCAAAGAAACGCCCCGTGCCTCACCCCAGCACCCTCAAATAAGCTGGCACAGGTCCCAGCCCCACCCCCAGCTCATGACTCAGGGTTTTCCCCACCATCACCTTTCCTAAGTCAGGTCAGAGTAGGGTGGCAGGGAAACGTGCGGGGCAGTGGTCATATCCACTCCGAAGCCTCGCCTCTACAGCAGCCTCTGCTTGATTATCTCTGGGATGTGCTGCTCACTTCCTCTTCACTCCCCAATTCACACCAGCTCACACCCACAAATCCCCCCTTCACCCCAAGCTCATGCACACACACACACCCATTGTGTACACGCTCACTCTCCTAGAAGCTCCATTTTGTGGGGGCAGGGCACTCAGTGAGTGGGGCCCTGCAAGGTGCTGAGCAGCCGGCCAGGACTGGCTCCTTTCTCCTCCTCTGAGTCTGGGCCTGAAGAAAGCTGCTCAAGGTGGGGGTGGGGTGGAGGAAAACAGGCCCCTCTTCCCGCAGAAGCCAAACATCTGGGTGCAAGATAGGTGGTGGCTGGAGGTGATGGGGGAGGGAGAGATACCCCATCCAATTTTCTCCAGAGGCTGCTGCGGGGACTGCAGAGTGGTCTGGGGCCCCAGCTGCCCCCCCCCCGCCCCCCTGCATAGGTGGGAGGGTGGAAGGAGGGCTGTGGCCAGTCTTCTTGAGGATGGGGTAGGAGCAGGGCCTGGGGATGCTCACCGTGGTTTAGATGCCCAGGACCCCTGCCCTCTGAGAGACTCCCCCAGTGAGGAACGGTCACCTAGGTCACGAGCCAGTCCTGTTTCACCGGGTGGGAAGCAGCCTCAGGTCAGTGCAGCGAAGTCCTCGGCCTGTGCCTCTGGGACCCTTGTCTGGGTCAGACTGAGTGAGGGCCGATGGGGCGCAGGGTTCCCCACACACGGGTGTGCCTGCCTCCTCTGTCCTGCTCTCCCTGCTCACCTCCTGCCACCCTCGCCTCACATCTGGTCAGCCATCGGCCAGTCTGACTCCTCATCCTGTAGCGGGGGAAACTGAGGCAGAGGGAGGGAGAGCCTTGCCCAGGCCACATGGCCAGTCTGTGGCAGAGTGGGCACCAGGATCCAGGGCTGATGTCCTTTAAGCCTCCTGGCCAGTCCTAGCGGGAACCCCCCTTCCAGCCTCACTCTGCCCCTCCCCCCAGACCTGCTCAGGCAGCTGCCACCTGCCGTCTGGCTCCTCACCCCAGCTCCTCCTGCCTCCACCCCACAGGACCCTTGTGCAGCATCCTGGTGGGACGCTTTGGCTGCCGAGTGACAGCGATGGCTGGGGGCGTGCTGGCCTGCCTGGGCATGGTGGCCAGCTCCTTCAGCTACACCCTCAGCCAGCTCTACGTCTCCGCGGGATTCTTCACAGGTGATTGTCATCCCGTGACCAGAATTGCTGGATGCCTACTAAAGAGCGCCAGGCTCAGGGGGCAGGTAGGGCAACGTGAGGGAGCCCGTGAGAGAGAGGGGGGATGGACAGATACGCAAGAAGGACTGTGTCTGATCATCACAAGTGCGTGAGAAGACAGGACAGCTGATGCGACAGTGTCGTGGCCGAGGGCGAAGGTGGGTGGAGGTGAAATGAGTGAAAAGGGAGAGTGTCCAGCAGAGCTGGTGTGAAACAGGCAGGGTGGTGGGGAGGGCGCTGTTTTCAACAAGGCTGGCAGCGAAGACCTTCCAGAGAAGGCGCCGTGTGGGCGGAGAGCTAATGGAGGGAGTGCGCCACCGGGCTGTATGGGGAAGAGCGTTCCAGGCAGAGGGAACAGCACGTACAAAGGCCCTGAGGTGTTAAGGAGCAATGAGGTGGCCAGTAGGGTGGAGGGGCCAGGCGGGAAGGCAGGCTGGCAGCTGGGAGTGAGGAGGGGTGAGGTGTGGAGGACAAAGAGGCAGAAAGCCTGGGGGTCAGCCAGCAGGAAGGGGAGTAAACCAACGAGGGGCACATGTTGGCATCCAGGACAACCAGAGCCCGCCCGAGGCCGGGGCACGGGTAGCTGTGCGTTTTCTCCCTAGAATGTCCAGCTGTGTTGGGGCAGGCACAGAGTTGGATGGGGAGGTAGCCTCTGAGCTGAGTTAGGAGAAAAAAGCCAGGAGAGGGGTATGTTCCTGGCAGGAGGAACCCAAAGAACAAATGTCCCGAGGTAGGGAGCAGCTTGGTGTCCGGAGGAAAGAAGCTGATGTAGCTGTATCGTCACTGGCAGAGAGTGGCCAGGAGCCAGACCAGGTGGAGTCGTCTGGGACAGAGTAAACACTTTCTTCTTACGTGTGATGGGAAGTCTCTGGAAGGTGTTAAGCAGGGGAGAGACTTAATTTGATTTCAGGGTTGTCGGGGTTTTTTTTAGGATTTTATTTATTTTGTTTTTAGAGAGGGGAAGGGAGGGAGAAAGAGAGGGAGAGAAACATCAATGTGATTTTGCCTCTCATGCACTTCCGACTGGGGACCCAGCCCGCAACCCAGGTATGTGCCCTGACTGGGAATTGAACCAGTGACCCCTTGGTTTGCAGGCCAGCACTCAGTCCACTGAGCCACACCAGCCAGGGCTGATTTCAGTTTTTAAAGATCAGCTGGGTGCTTTGCCAAGGGGACAGGTGTGTCCCTGGGAGCCTTTGGGAGGGCAGATCTGAGGGCTGGGGATGCTTCTAGGGAGGAGGTAAGGCATGCTGAGTCTACCTTGAGTCCCTGGGGACCTGTAGGTGGGTCTGGGCTAGGAGGGAAGGAGAGCAGCCACGGGACAGGACCCCGTGACCCCACTGCACCTCAGAACACCCTCCAGCTGGTCTCCACTCTTCCACCACAGGCCTGGGCTTGTGCTTCAGCTTCCAGTCGACCATCACTGTACTGGGCTTCTATTTCACCCACCGGCGGGTGCTGGCCAACGCACTGGCCTCAGTGGGCGTCTCCTTGGGCATCACACTCTGGCCGCTGCTCGCCCGCTACCTCCTGGAGGAACTGGGCTGGAGGGGCACCTTCCTCATCTTCAGCGGGGTTTTTCTTCATTGCTGTGTCTGCGGGGCCATCCTGAGGCCAGTGGCCACCAGCACGGCTCCCGAAGCCAGAAAAGGCCCTTCTCCAACTACCAAGAGACCCGCTCCTGGCTGCCCCGCAGCATGTGTCCGGCGCACCCTACGCTACCTGGCCTTCGACATCCTGTGGCACAATGCAGGCTACCGAGTGTTCACGCTGGGTGTCACGTGGATGATCCTCGGGTTCTCACTGCCACATGTCTTCCTGGTGCCCTACGCCATGCAGCATGGGGTGGACGAGCACAAAGCGGCCCTGCTTATCTCCATTATCGGTTTTAGCAACATTTTCCTGCGGCCCATGGCTGGGCTGGTGGCAGGGCGACAGGGCTTCACCGGCTACCGCAAGTACCTGTTCAGCCTCTCCATCCTGCTCAACGGGCTCACCAACCTGGTGTGCATCGCATCCTCCGACTTCCGAGTGCTGGTGGGCTACTGCCTGGCGTACAGCGTGTCCATGAGCGTGATTGGCGCCCTCTTCTTCCAGGTCCTCATGGACATTGTCCCCATGGATCAGTTCTCCAGGGCCCTGGGGCTCTGCACCATCCTGGAGAGCATCTCCATCCTCGTCTCCCCCCCCATGGCGGGTGAGGCCCGGGCAGGGAAGGTCAGAGGGAGGGCGGGCTGCTGGGGGTCGAGGGTGTGGCCTGGGAGATGAGGGTGAGGGAGTGAGCTGACGGGAACGGTCTGGACAGCTTTGTGCCCTGTCCAGCATCCCAGTGGCAGGGACTTGGAATCAGTTATTTTCCCAAGAGCCCCAAGGGACTGGTTCCAGCTTGTTCCCTAGCTGTCACGCAGCGTGTAAACACTTAAAAATAGGGGTTTGCTTATCAGACTTACCTGACTCTGTCGTGTTTCTCCCTGTACCTCTGTTTTCTTATCAGCAAAGCGAGGGAGACAATAGAGTCCACCCTGTAGGCTGGTTGTGAGGGCCACAGGTTACACAGTAAAGAGCTCAGCAGGGAAGCTGGCCCAGGGCAGAGATGTGCTGCTACTAACATTCTGGTTCTTCCACTTCCTGCCTGTGGGAACCTGCCAAGTCGTTTACCTGCAAAATGCAGAAAAGGGCACCTGCTACAACCATTGCAATAGGGACCTGTGCCAGTCACTGGGTGCACGTGACTGGGTGTGCAGACTTCCCTTCGGGTGGGAGCAAAGGGACATATTTGTGGTCCCAATGGTGGTCTGTGCAGTGGGGGGAAGGGAATGCACAGGTACAGAAGCAGAGCCCCACACGAGAGAGGGCTTGCTGAGCGGCTGAGAGTGTGCCATTCAGAGCAAAAGGGAAGGTCTGTGAAGCCTTTGGTGCTGGGGGGCAGTCAACAGACAGCACGTGGCTGCGGTCATTACCCTGAGACAATGGACGTCTTCTCTGGGGCGTGCAGGTGGAAGGCCCAAGGGACTTCCCAAAGCCAGCAAGTAGACAGCACTGCCTGGGAGGAAGAACCGAGGCAGCGGGGTGGGGGGGTTGCTGGGCATGGCCAAGCAGATGTCCCAGACTCCGCTGGCCCTTGTCTATTTAGCTTCCTGCCACCAGGGTCAGAAAGGCATGCCCTTAAGTGTTCTTTAGCCTGGGGAGTCTTCCTGGCCTGGGCCAGAGTAGGTTTAGTGTTTCCTCTTCCCCTTTCATTGAACAAGTATTTATCGAGTGCCTACTAGGCGCCAGCCACAATTCCTGGTACTGGGGCCACAACAGTGATACAAACGAAGTCCCCGCCCTTCCCGAGCACAGAGTTGGTGGGCGGTGGCTGGAAGCCCTGGGTGGTGGCCTGACTTGCTCTCTGTCCTTCAGGGTTTCTCCTGGACAGCACAGACAACAACTTCAGCTACGTTTTCTACATGTCAAGCTTCTTCCTCATCTCGGCGGCCCTCTTCATGTGTGGCAGCTTCTGTGCCCTTCGGAAAAAGGAGAAGCAGGCCTCCCAGGCCAGGGGGGAGGCAGCCCTGGAGCCGGCCCTCCCCGGGGAGGGCACAGACAGTTCTGAGAAGCGGCTGTGGACCGAAACCATGTACGTGACCAGCGTCTGAGCCCTGAGGTCAGTGGGTGACCGCCGCCTCAGCTCATGAACAGGATGTCCAGCTGTTTCACCAGGTGAAGTGCTGCCCGGCTTGCCCGAACCAAAGACCATCCAGGCTGCCTGTTGGGACTTAGCCAGGGGCTGTGACCTTGGAGGCTGGCCTCTGAGGACTCAGGGTTCCTTCCAATGAGCAGAATGAAGGAGCAGGTCCTCCTCCTTCTCTTTCCTCTGGGCACCAGGGTACTCAGGCCCAGGAAGGTGGCTCTGAGCCCTGCATGAGTCTGTCACACCCGACTCCGCTGAGCTGGCTCCCCACTGCTGCTGCTACAGTTCAACACAGCAGGCTGCCCAGTCCAGCTGGACGCCTCTGATGTTGTCACTTTGTCCTTCTCTGACATCTCACACAGTTCCAAAGAGCCCGCCCGTCCTCCTAAGCCCTCCAGCCTGCTCCCTCTCAGTGACTCCACCTTTGCCCTCAGGGCTGCCCCCAGCACGTTGCTGGGCCCCCAGCTGCTCAGAACCTGGGAAAGAAGGACCCCGTGAGAGTATGAGTTTGGCCTGCAGCAGGGGATGGCCACCCGAGGACTCAGCCTGGCTGCGGGGTTTGGGCGGATTAGATGTTGGGCGGAGTACCTTTCCTGGCATCTGCACAGAGAATCAGAGGGGAGCACCTCTCTTGGGTCCCAGAGTCAGTGAAGTCTGAGGGGCCCCCTGCAGATTCTGCAGAGCCTGCTTGGGGCCTCCCTTCCTCCTTTGTCCCACTTGGTATTTTAGCGGGAAGATAAGTGCTGGAGTTGAGGAAACCAGACATTTGACTCACCAGGGAGGATGAGGCTCGCTAGGCAGGGCCCGACGACCTCTTTGAAAATAGAGCTGCTTTTGTAACAGAAGCCCTTCGACTCCCTGCTCCCTGCTGTGTCAGAGGCGTCTGCCCTGGGGTAAGGAGCTGGCTGGGCCAGCTGCCAGTCCACCCCTGCTCCCTGGTGGCCTGTGTTGTTGGCCTAGAGGTCAGACCTCCTCCCACCTCCCTTCCGCCCAATACACACACACACTCTGCTGGTGCCCTTCCTTGAGGTCATGGCGGGGGGGGGGGTGGGGGGGTGGGGTTGCTTATTGTCATCGGGACAGGCTTGTTCCAACAGGGTGCCAACCGAGGGAACAGAAAAACAGTTTGTTTGAATTACATAGAAAAAATGTTTCCTGCAGCAGACTATAAAACCTGTGAACTAATGAAGCAGGAAAACAGGCCTGGAATAAGTCCTCCTCCCCCAAGGTCTTGCTCACACCCAAGACCTTGTTTGTTGATTCAGGTTCAACCAGGCTCCAACAAGAAAACCTTATCAGGAGATTAATTTTATTTTCATGACCCAACTCTAGCCTTCCTCCTCCACACGTCCAGCTGACATAAGCATCCTTCAGGATGTCCCGGCTTCTTCAGGACCCTGTGACGGGTGCCCCCTTATGGCCAAAGAAGGTAGTGCAGAGGCAAAGAAAAGGGTGATTGCTGGGATCATAGGGACCTCTGCCATAATTTACTGTGTGACTTTGGGCAAGTTGTTCACCACCACTGGGATTTTAAAAAGGAGGAAGTCGGCCAGTATAAGCTAAAGTCTCTTTCAGTTTGGAAAGTCTGATCCTGAAGAACCCCACCGCCTCCCTGCTCCCTGCCTCGGCCTGTTTGGCCACCATCCAGAGTGTGAACTGAAGGGAGAAGGTTGGACACATTTTACCAAGTCCTGTGTCCTCCATCCTAATGTAGAAAAGGAGGGAGTTGGGGCTGGTAAGCAGATACATGCTTTTGGTACTAGTAGTCACCAGGCTTTGAAATTGCATCCCCTAATAGGTCCACTTCCTTAAAACAGATTTTTAAAATATATTATTTAGCCCTGGTGGGTGTGGTTCAGTGGATTGAGTGCTGGACTGTGAACCAAGGGGACACTGGTTCAATTCCCAGCTAGGACACATGCCTGGGTTGCAGGCTGGGTCCCAGTAGGGGGCACACAAGAGACAACCACACACGGATGTTTCTCTTCCTCCGTTCCCCTCTAAAAAATAAAATCTTTAAATATATATATTACTATTTTAAAAAGAGAGGGAGGGAGGAAGACAGGGGGAGAAACATCAATGTGAGAGAGAAACACTGGTCAACTGCCTTTCGTATGTGCCCCGACCAAGGACAGGACCTGAAACTCAGGTCTGTGCCTTGACCGGGAATCAAACCAGTGACCCTTTGCTTTGAGGGACGACACCCAACCAACTGAGCCACACTGTTCAGGACAAAACAGATTCCTTTTAAGGAAAAAAAGATTATTAGTGAACATTCAGCATAGAAAACGTGGCCCTCTGTCTACAGTAGCAATAGTTGCTAGGCTCTCCTCAACAAATATTTAAGCACCTACTGTGTGCCAGGAACTGGGCATATAGGAGTGAGAAGTGGTTGCTGCCCTCAGCACAAAACCAAGAACTGGGACTTTCTCCCCAAGGAGGAGGGCCACTGAGGCCTTGGGAGGAAACAAATGAAGAAAGATAGGTGGCCTGTCTGATTCCAGAAACCACACTTAGCTGATTTCCTGAGAACCCTCTAGACAGGGTCTGGCACCATTCCTGGGGAGCACAGGTTGGAGCTCTCTTCCATCCTGCCCGCAAGCCCTGACCTTCTGGTCCCCAAGCCTTTGCTGCTCTGTCCAGCCAGAGGGAGAGAAGTCCCCGGGCCACCCTGGGCTGAGATGTACATGCCCAGGAATGTAGTGCCCCAGAGAAGCTGAAGGGCCCAATAAGGGTCCTGGGGCCACCACTATCACAGAGCAGCCACAGTACCCAAGTGTAGCTCCTGCCCCAGGGCGTGTGCATAGGGCAGGGGCTAACCACAGGGATCTGAGCCCATGCCATGTGGGGCTTGCTCCCAATGGGACGGTGGCAGGATGGAGTATGGCCCAGGACCAAAGGTGCATGGTCCTCACGCTCAAGAAGCTCACGGCCCAAGCCTCCTTTACCCTCACGTTTTCAGTCAGATGGTAGGGCGGCAGAACCACCTCCTTCCCTGGGGCTTTAGTCCCTGCGCCTACGAGGCCTCCTTCACATATCACCTTCCTGAGAAGCACCAAGAAAGAACTGGACAGAAGGGCTTCCACATGCAGGGCTGCTGCCCAACGCAAAAAGCTGCCAAAAACGGTACATTTGGGTGAAAGCAGGTTCCTACCCCCTATCGGTGCTGCCCAGCGCTCCCTGTCCACCTGGCTGACAAGAGCTTTACCCAGTTCACGAGATTTCTGGCCAGAGGTGGAACTCAGCTCGTGCCTGGGGAGCAGGGAGCACCAGGCTTGCACGGCTTTCTGGAAAAGCCGACCAGAAAGCAGTGTCAAAGGACCCAAGGAGCGGGGTGGGGAGCCGTGGTCGTCCACAGGCAACTGACGCCCACGCTCCAGAGGGGCGTCAGATGCAAGAGGATCTGGAGGTGGTTCTGCCTCCAGAGCTCCCCACACGGAGCCCTCCGGCGCCTCTACGCTCTCAAGGAGCCTCGAAAAGTCCCTCAAAGAATTTGCAGCCTCCTGCCGCCTGCTGGAGCGCTAAAGCGTGAAGCGAATTGCACACGCGTGCGCGAAGATCAGACAGCTCCGCCCCTGGTCCGCCTCTGCCTGCCCCTTCCCGCCCTCTGGGGCGGAGCTAAGTGCGGCTTCCGGCGGAAGCTTGGGATCAAGCGGAAAACCCTACCTACTAGCCAGGGGTTTGGTGGTGCTACTTCCTCCTCCCTCGCGCAGTTGTTTCCGAATCTCCTGCGCTTCAGTTTTCACGCCCATCTCCTACAAGGAGATACCTGATACTGCTCCTCATCCCAATTACAGCTGCAAATTACCGCAGGGCCCGAGGCCGGGAAACGGACCTGTATCCCGCCCCGGTCCGCCCTTGCCCAGCGAGGCCCTGTGAGGTTCTGGCACGACGTTCCGGCCTCATCTGCCACATTCCCCTGCCTGTCCCCCGCGGACCCTCTTCCACCCCGACCATGGCCCAGAAGCCAAAGGTAGACCCTCACGTAGGGCGACTGGGATACCTGCAGGCGCTGGTCACGGAATTCCAGGAGACGGAGAGCCAAGGTGAGAGCGACAGGGTGAGGGTCAGGGAGCGGGGCAGCCCGAGACCGTTGCCCCGGACCTTGCTCCAGTGACGCTTTTCCGCTGCAGACGCCAAGGAGCAAGTCCTCGCCAACCTCGCCAACTTCGCCTATGACCCCAGCAACTACCAGTATCTGCGACAGCTGCAGGTCTTGGACTTATTCCTCGATTCGCTGTCGGAGGAGAACGAGACCCTGGTGGAGTTCGCTATCGGTAAGGACGGGGCCGGTCTCCCAGGTGCCCGGTGGTGGGCTGTGGCGAGAGAAGTGAGCGCGAGGTGAGTCTTCGGGGAAGGGATCCCGGGCAGGCCCCCGCTCAGCGGCAGTGGCAGGCTTCGCCGATCACAATGTCCAGGCCTCAGCCAGCTGGGGTCAGGCCTGCGACTCTCGCCCAGGACTCCCCCCGCAGGCCCGCCGTCCCTTCCGTTGAGAGATGAGATCGTAACTGGGGGAATGGGTTGAAGCCACTTGGAGGGGAAAAATTTAGAGTGCTCTTTTAAACAGCTTTATTTTAATGTGTCAATATCAAGAGAGATAGGGGTGATTTGGAATGGCTTGTCATTCCTGTGGTTGTTACAGCCTAAGATCCATTAAGTCATTCACTGGGCAGACATGACATTTATTGGGCGCGAATAAATGTGAGCGAGGGCTCTGAGTGCCGGAGAGATGGCCAACAAGTCGGGAAAGGTCTTCGCCCTCAGGGAGCTTCGATTCTAAGAGGGGCAGACAGATGGTGAGCAAACAAACCAAAAAGGGGAGACTCGGGAGGAAATAGGGGATGATGAGTAGAGCAATGGGAGACAGGGGCTGCTTCCGTTTGGGCCCTGCTGGGCAGGCATCCGAGGCAAAGGCACATCGTGGGGAGGAAGAGCCCCCGGGAAGGCCAACGTGTCTGGATTGCGGTGAGCGAAGCAGAGAGGGACACGATGAGGCTAGCGAGGCTGCAGCACCAGGGCTTCCAGGGGCTCGGATCTCGGCCACGGGAAAGTTTGGAATTTATTCTGAGAGGAAAACAAAAATTCTTTTCCAGCATGCATCTTTAGAAAATACCATTTCTGCCCTGACCGGTGTTGCCCCATTGGTTGGGTGTCGTCCTGCAAAGCGCAAGGTCTTTGGTTTGATTCTGGGTCTGGGCACATGAGCAGGTTGTGGGTTCAGTCCTGGGGTTGGAGTGCAGGTGAGAGGCAACCCATTGCTACTTCTCTCGCTCATCCATGTTTCCCTGCCTTTCTTTCTCCCTCCCTTCTAAAAATAAATAAAATTTAAAAAATGTTAAATAAATAAAAAAATAACGTTTCTCTATATAGTGAAAGTAATCTGTGTGGGGAAAGAAGCTTTAATAATTATTCTGTTGTCACCTAATACCCAATTATGCAAATTTTTGTCATAGTTCCCAAAGGGACATTTTTGGGGGTTGGTTTGTGTAAACCAGGATCCATGCAATTCAATCTGGTTGTTATGTGCCTTAGAGCTCGTCTCTCTCTTTTAAAATAGATTTTGCATTTTAGAACAGTTTTAGAAAAATTGCAAAGGTAATACAGACAGTTGCCATTTATGCCACACTCAGTTTCCCTATTATTATCTTACATTAGTGCTGTGCATTTGTTACATGTAACAAACTGGTCTTCATACATTATTATTATTATTATTATTATTATTATTATTATTATTATTATTAACTAAAGACTGTACTTTATTCAGATTGTTTTAACCTAAGGTCTATGTCCTGGTCAGGATCCCATCCAGGACCCTGCGTTACTTTCACTTGTCATATCTCCCTAGGCTCCTCCTCTTAGATTCTTTGTTTTCATTTTTTGATACTTTTGAGGAGTGTGGGCAGGTATTTTGCAGACTGCCCCTCAGTGGGAAGGTGGTACTTTTCTCACAATTGGACTGGTTTTGGGGAGGACAGCCACAGAGCTGAAGCGCCCTGTGCAGCCCGTCAGAGCGGGGCTGTGCTCCCTGCACGGCTGACCACTTTTGGTGGCAGCTTTGATGCCCCGGTGGAGGAGGAGTTTGTCAGGTGTGTCTACCTAAAGTTGCTGTCTTACCCCTCTTCCCTATTGTACCCTCTGGAAGGAAGTCACTGAGTAAATTATCTCCCTTTTAGGCTTTTTTTTCATAACACTTATTGTTAAAGGACCCAGACCAGTTTTGTAGAACGCCCACCTTCCAGATTATCTGGCTGCCTCTTCATGGTGTTTATTTGTTCCTCTGTCCCCTTAAATTTCCTGTAACCTAGAAATGAGATCGAAAGCCTTGACAGAGCCAAGAAACACTTTACTTTCTGAACACATCAGAGGTGAGTGTAGTTTGAATTCCGGAAGACCACCCAGGTCTGCCCCTCATGTTTGCAGTGCTGGGGCTGGGGCACAGGTGGGGGTCGCCCCTCCTCTTCCCACCGCAGCAGGCCTCGCACCTGTGTGTGGACATCCCAGCTCTGTTCACACCCCCACACACACCTGCTGCGGCCTCTCCTTGGACTCGGAGTATGCATACCCTCCTCGGTCTTCCCCCTGGGAGTCAGGATTTAGGAAGAGGCCCACGCAGCTGTGGGTGGAGGCGCAGGCCCTGGTGTAGGGAACGCAAGCCTTTGGGCGGGCTCCCGGGATTTTCCAACCGGTGGAGGAGACCAGAGTGAGCCCCTCCACGGCAGGGCCGGCCAGGCACAGCAGCGCCCAGGTCTGCTGGAGTGGTGCTAGCTCCTGTCCCTGGCCATCTGGAAGGTTATTATGCTAAATAAATATTCTAAAAAATTGGTACTTTAAGATGTTCACCAGTGTAAGCTCACCACCCCCTCCCTCTTTATAACTCGGCTCCATAGCTCCTGACATCTGCATGGTGACAGCGGCCCCTGCGGTACCATGCAGTCAAACCTCACCTGGCAGTGATAGAGCTCCTCCAACTCAATCTTTTGACTCTGGAAAAAACTTGCCTAAAAAGAGTAGTCACCTGGGAAAAGTTTTTACAGGACAAGAGGTGACTTTTCCCAGGCAGGAGTGCTCTGAGACCCTGGCCCACTGAGCTGGGCCTGAGTGCTCGCACTCCTGGGCGGCTTCCCTGCCTTACTTCTCCTAGATGCCTTTTCCTCCTTGTTCCTTCCTCCTCGTTCCCAGACTGAGGACCAGAGCAAGGTCCTCAGTCCCAGGAGCAGTAACTTTCTCAGCTGTCCCTTCAAAGGATCCTTTCGGATTACATTTCTCTCTTATTTATTGTGCGTAACTTAAAAGGAGAGCCCCAGGGGGTACTTAGAAGCGGATTTTGTCACTGCTGTTGTTTTCTCTTACTGTGCCTGGCACTTATGCTGTTGTTGAAAGGCCGTGTGCCGTCCTTGGTCATTTTGAGTCTTCCATCTCTGGTGGCAGGCCGAGAGGGTGATCGCCGCGAGGGCAGAGTGCAGGATTGCTTACCTTTACGTCCTGGATGCCCTGGCCTTTTGGTCTGGACAGAAGGTCCCAAAAGGCGCAGAGCCCTGGCTGTGACTTGGCTCCACAGCCCTGAGTGGGGTTGGCTGTGCAGCAGCTGGCAGAGAGGAGAGCTGGGTTAGATTGCCCGTGACCGTGGCTTACAGAACCAAAATCTGTAGTTGTTTGTTTTTTAAAGATTTTATTTATTTATCTTTAGAGGGGAGGGGAAGGAGAGAGGGAGAGAAATACCAATGTATGGTTGCCTCTTGTGCGTCCCCTGTTGGGAACTGGCCTGCAACCCAGGCATGCTCCCCCACTGGGAATCGAACTGCAATTGTTTGGTTCATAGGCCCGTGCTCAATCCACTGAGCTATACCAGCCAGGGCTGTTGGTTGCTTATTGGCAAGGAACATGAATGAATTTGGTAAGAGCTAGACTTTGGGGTCAGGCAGGCCTGGGCTTCAGTCTTTGCTGCCCTCCTTAAGTCCTGGTGCCTGATTTCCCTCCCCCCACCGTCCGCCCGAGGGGCAGTATCAGTGCCCACCTGGAAGAGGGATAGGAGGTAAATGACTTGGAGTGTCTGCAGCTGTGGGGCCCCCTGGTCCTCGGAGCCCCCTTGAGGATAAACAGTTCCCTCATGTTCTGGAGAGGTGTGGTGGGCGAGATCACGGCCTCTCAAGGGAACCACCTCTCTGCTCCAGGGAGTCTTTCCCTCTGGGAAAACACCATCAGGTGGCAGGAAAAGCCAGGAAAGTCGATCAGAAGCAGGTTCAGGTGGAGCGAGCCTGGCTGTGGCACTGGCGCCACCCTCAGCCTCTCAGCTGCAACGCTGGTGCTGTCCCACTGGCTCGGACCTGTGATGATAGCTCCATGGATGGAGCCCCTTCCGTGTGCCACGCACTGGCCTCCTGCGCTTTATCCCGTGGACCCTGAAACAGCGCTGAAAGCAGGTGGGCTCTTAACAGGCATTTTCCAACAATGAATCTGAGGCTTTGGAGGGGGGTTGCTCAGAAGTTTAAAGAGTGCCGGACCTGGGACTTAAACCCAAGGCTGTCAGGTTCTAGAAGCTGCTCCCATGGCCACTCTCCTGCCACCTTTCCTGGATGCCGACCCCATGCCCACTGTGTGCCCTCCTTGTACCAGCACTGCCTGCAAGGTCTCTGAATTTGTCACCAACCGCAAGGTATGCAGAACTGGGCCCTCTTCACATGTGAGGAGACAACACCTCGCTGAGGTTTGGTCCATTTCCTGAGGCTCAAGGTTGACCCCAGTCTTCTGGATCCAAACTCTGTGCCCAGGGGACCCAGCTGCCAGAGCCAGGCGCACAGTCCAGCGAATCCTCATCCCTGAATCTTTGTGTCTGGTCCCAGAGTATCCCTCAGACTGTTCTGGTGGCAAGTCACCCCTGGCGCAGGTGTTTATGAGGAGCTGCCACCAGGAGATGGTCCTGCTTGTGCCAGGACAGGGGTGGGAAGTGGGTGAATCATGAGAACCAAGTATGAAGCCAGGATCTCTGCAAATACTTGAGTGAGTGTTCCAAGCTCATGCCCCAAATAAAAACTCTGGCAGCCTTTGGCATTAAGTTGGAAATGCTTTCCCAAAGCACCACTGGCTGACTCTCAGACGTCCACACCTCCACCATCCTAGATGCTGTGTGCGGACGTGCAGGGACCAGAAGAGCATTCTCTACTTACGTGAAAACTGGTTAAATCCTAGGATATCACACAATACTTGGCAGTCTTGGTACTAAAACCAAGTTCAAGTAGGTTGCCTCCCAGAATGCAGGTTAAAAGCCCTTTCCTTGTGT